GGGGGAATTATAAGTCCAACAAAAAAAAATTTTAAGTCAAAATAATTGTTATTAATTTATTTGTTTGTTTATTTATTTTAGTTAGTTAGTTAATTATTTATTTATTTATCTATCTATCTATCTATCTATGTTTTCCAACGAAAATAAATTTTTGTTTGAAATTTATTTCACAACAAAATATACAAACAGTTTATAAACATTTCAAACCAAAAGTGAAATGAACTCCCAGTGAGAGAGAGAGAGAGAGAGAGAGAGAGAGAGAGAGAGAGTTTAGTTTAATATACTGTACTGTAGTTTTAGATGAAGTCATATATGAAGTTCATAGTAACGACAGTGCAATAGTTATACAGTAATAATAATAATAATAATAATAATACAAATATCAGATTTATATCATAGACAGTATATTACGACAAATACTACTACTATATTATGCATTACATAACATCACATTTTGTCAAAACAGTTATACATACAGTCAATATACATATGATATATACTGTTGTAGTAAACTGTTTTAAAAAACAGTCATTTAGTCATTACATATGTCTATTACAGTTATATTAATAATATTAATAATAATCGTGACTACAATTTAGAGAGAGAGAGAGAGAGAGAGAGAGAGAGAGTTAATGTTATTATTCATACATAAAAAAAGTTGATTGTCTTACTAATGGGGGGTTGGGTTGTATTGAGGAGAAGGATAAGGAGGAGGAGGACATAGTCGATGAGGACTACAAACTCTAGCTTAGAGGGCATTATACACATACAGTGAGAGAGAGAGAGAGAGAGAGAGAGAGAGAGAGAGAGAGAGAGAGAGAGAGTATATATATATATAAATATTTTTTATCTTATTTATTAGTATGTGTTTGTCTATGGATGTAGTGGTTGGTGTGTGTGTGTGTGTGTGTATGTGCGGTACTGTATGTGTGTGTGTGAGTGAGTGAGTGAGAGAGAGAGAGAGAGAGAGAGAGAGAGAGAGAGAGTCAAGTGAATGACACAAACTGAGAGTGCATTTTAGTTTTATATGATTGCATACATTGAACCGCACCGTTATATATATATATATATATATATATATATATATATATACAATATATAGTATATATTATATACAGTATATACGGTACGGTACAGTATATGTGTTGCTAAAGACATTATGTAATATATATATATATATATATATTTTGGTAGTATTGCATAACAACCATACACATTGGACAAGTATTAGATATTAGCGCTTCCCCATCGATATACATGTACAGCATATAAATTTATATATACAGTATATACAGATAGTAATATAAATGTACAGTATTTCTGGTATATGCCGATCCTTACGCATCCCTTTTTTCCATCAATATATATGCTGTATATCACGCATCCGCATGAGTAGAGAGAGAGAGAGAGAGAGAGAGAGAGAGAGAGAGAGAGAGAGAGAGAGAGAGAGAGAGAGAGCACTGGTAGCTCTCTCTCTCTCTCTCTCTCTCTCTCTCTCTCTCTCTCTCTCTCTCTCTCTCTGGCTATAAGAATATGCCCATTGGCTTAACCGACAACAACAACAACAACAACATCAACAACAACTGCAACCACGGAATCCGTGTCACATAAAAATAGTTGTAATAATACTGTAATTGAAATATTCTGTAATAACTGACTTTACTGACTGTGTATAGTACTACTACTACTACTACTACTACCAGTGCATAAATACCAGTGCACACTATCACCATCTCCATGGATTGGCACTTACCTAAAAACTTTATATATATATACAGTTATATACCACAACAGGGTTAAGTAAGGGGGGGGGGGGGGGGGGTAAGGCCAAAATACCCCCCCATAAGATCGAGAAATTGGGATTTTACCCCCCCAGACTTTTTGACCAAATTGAAAAAATTGTCGCTTAAAAACGAGGAGAAATGACCCCCCCCCTAAAATTTCGGCGCCTAAGGCGCCGAAAATTTTTTTGAAATTTATAAAAATTTTAATTTTAGTTGATACTATTTTAGTAAGTGTTTTTATGTTTTTAATATTTATAAAAATCTAATTATTGATTAAAAATAGTTAAAATAACGTAAAAGTCTTCAAAAAATAACATTATTTTAATTAAAATAAACTAAAAAATTAAAAATTACCTATTTGTTGAAAAGAGTAATCATATTACAATTTAAATATAAGTTTAAGAAGTTAATAAAACAATAAATACTTATGTTTTTATTAATAATTTTTAAATTTTAAATAAAAAATTTAAAAATATTTTCAATTTTGTACTTAATATAATTAAACTTTAACGAAATTTGAGTTAAATAAGTAGTATTCAGTCAGTATTTGTATAAAAATAAAAATATATAACAAACTATAAACATTAAGTATTGTTTAAAAAATTAATTATGTTAAAGTTAAAAATTATTAAAATACTAAAAATAACTCATRGTGTATCATTAATGCTTTTCTCAGCTATTTTTAAATATTAAATACATTATTTTATTTTTTGTTAAAATTTAAGATTTTATTAATTTAAAAAAAATTTTTTAAAAAATATTTATTTTTTATTAAAATTTAAATTTTTGTTAATTTTTAAGTTTTTTAAGTTTTTTTTTATATTTTTGGAAATTTTACCTATTTTCCCGGGAATTTATACGGGAACTTGTGGGAATTTTATTGAATTTACATGGGAATATTCGGGAACTTAAGGAATTTTTAGGGAATTTTCTCTAGACCCCCCCCCCCCCCCTGATTTTGGATTTTTGAAAAAATTGCCGTTTAAAAATGCAATAAAAATCTTACCCCACCCAATACCCCCCCCAAGATTTTTTGAGAATTTTGTAAATTTTACCCCGGTCTACCCCCCCCTAAAATCCAAAACCTTGCTTAACCCTGATACCACAACTATTATTTAGTATTATTTACTTACTGTTAATTATTTATTTATTTTGTTTGAGTAAAAAAATTTTAGCATGCACATTTGTTTTGTTTGTTTTTTTTGGTTTATAGCCAACACAAAAAAAACTATTTTTACCTAGCTAATTTATCTTATCGCATTAACTTTTTAATAACAATTATTTAAACGTTATTTGTGAATATATATATATATATGTATATATTTGATAAAATTTAAAACTTATCAATGTTATCATGTTGATATATTGATACTTATGTATGTGTATGTGTATGTGTGTGTATGTGTGTGTATGTGTGTATGTGTGTATGTGTGTATGTGTGTATGTGTGTATGTGTGTATGTGTGTATGTGTGTATGTGTGTATGTGTGTATGTGTGTATGTGTGTATGTGTGTATGTGTGTATGTGTGTATGTGTGTATGTGTGTATGTGTGTATGTGTGTATGTGTGTATGTGTGTATGTGTGTATGTGTGTATGTGTGTATGTGTGTATGTGTGTATGTGTGTATGTGTGTATGTGTGTATGTGTGTATGTGTGTATGTGTGTATGTGTGTATGTGTGTATGTGTGTATGTGTGTATGTGTGTATGTGTGTATGTGTATGTGTATGTGTATGTGTGTATGTGTATGTGTATGTGTGTTTGCGACTGTGTGTGTATATACAATATATTTATTATGATATTCAATATTCAAAAAAAACTTGTTTACATTTTGTACAATAATGTATATATAAATATATTAAAAAATGCTATATACTTGTTAAAACATGTTTATCATTATTTATACTGTATATTATAATTTAATAAAACTAATTAAATAAAATTTGCATTTATTTTTAACTCATTATTATGATAACTTTAAATCAAAATAAAAATCAAATATATAAATAAAATAAATATATATATATATTTTTAATATTAACATTAATTAATTTAATAGGAAATAAAATTTTTGTTATATGGTGTCATATATTTTTTTGCTATAATAAAAAATACGTGTGTAATATTTGTGTGTGTGTGTGTTTATTAGCATGATAAATTTATTTATTTACAATAATAATAATAATAAATAATTTATATATCATATATGATTATATATATATTTGGTGACCAATGAATTAATAGTAATTAATTTGATGACAATTTTTCCACACTTTAATTATTATTATTATTAATGATATATTATATTATGATTTGACATTTTTGTTGTGTAAACTTTTTTGACTGATATATCAAATATTAATATTAATAATATTATAAAAATTATGTTTACAATACTTACAATAATTTAATAGACTAACTATTAAATACATTTGTCTATAAAGTATATAAATATATATATATATATATAATTTTATATAAATATATTCAACTTTGTATATATATATATGATATATAAGTATTAAATATTATAAAAACCTTATCACCAAAAATTGAAAAAAAGTTATATTGAATATTAGGATATTATAACTGCAATAGTATTTGAAATAATATATATATATAAAGTCTAAAGTCGTCTCCCGGTTGATGGGGTTTAAAATAATAATAATAATAATAATCAAAACAAATAATAATAATATTGATAATAATTATTATTAGTAATAAATTTTCATTTAAATATAATAATAATTCAATTTGTTTAGTTTATTTGTTTGTTTGTTAATAATTGTCATTGATTGACAAAAAAAATTTGCTGGGTGAAAAATATAAATTTACTATTATATTTGTAGTTTAAATTTTGTCTTAATATTTTTAATAATAGTAATAATAATATTGAAATGATAATATATAGTATATATTTTTGTGATTATTATTATTAAATTGTTTTTACTAGTTATTAGTGATTATATATCATATTTTTAAATTTTTTTTTAACACTATAGTGTCCAATTGATTTGATTTTATTAATTATTTTGTTTAACTACTAGAAAGTTATAGTTAATTAGTTTAAAAACTTTTTTTTTTTAATTTTTGTTTAAATATAAAACAAATTTTTTATTAATTTAATCATTAATTTATTTTACAATTACTTATCCAAACATCAATCAAATCAAAATCAAAAAAAAAATTATATAATTTTAATTACAATTAAAAAACAATGATTTTGCTAATATTTAACATATTTTTGTGGACCTGCGAAGTGCTGACATTGTTAGTGAAAATTTTGGGCATATTTCTGGAACAACTGGCCAAATATGTGGTACCGCAACCGCGCAAATCAATTGACGGCCAAATTGTAGTGATTACCGGCGCCGGTAGCGGTATCGGTAGGCAATTGTCGATCCGATTTGCTATACAATTGAACGCTGTGGTAGTCCTCTGGGATATCAATCGGGTACTAAAAATTGATCTACTGATTGATTGCTAATAATATGTTTGTCTCCCTTTCCGCCCCCCATAACCACCTGTCTGTCCATTTTTCTATAGGAATCAGTTGAACGGCTCAATAACGAGATCCGACTACTGGGCGGCATCAGTCACCCGATGATCGTCGATGTTAGCGACGAAAAACAAGTGGAATCGGCCGCCGGTCAGGTTCGCCAACAGATCGGTGCCATACATATGCTGATCAACAATGCCGGTGTCGTTCCCTGTTTACCGTTCAATCAGCTAACCTGTCCACAGATACGCCGGACATTTGACGTCAATGTTTTGTCACACTTTTGGGTCAGTTTGAGTCAACTACCCCCTACCTAATCATAAACCTCCTACCCTACTTAATCATAAACCCCCTACCTAATCATAAACCCCCTACCTAATCATAAACCCCTACCCCTACCTAACCATAAACCTCCTACCCTACCTAATCATAAACCCCCTACCAAATCATAAACCCCCTACCCCTACCCTATCCTAGCCATTTGATACCCTATTTTCACACACACACAACACGTGCACACCATTACCCGTGGTTAGTTATTTTATTTTTATTATAGAAAACAAATTACCGACAAAATTGAAAAAATTAAGTTCAAAATACAGTTTTCAGAAAAAAACTTTGATCCGTAAATATTAGGATTTTTTTTAAATTTACTGTTACTTTGTATTAATATATACAAAAAAAAAACTATTTTTAACTTAAATTTTATCATCAAAGTAAAAACATTTTCCATATTTTTCTATAAATATATATTTTATTTTATTTTTTTTTTAAATTTATTTATCCAGTTCTAACCAGTTATATTTATAATTTAAAAATTAACTAATTTTTTTTAATAATTAATTTTGTTTTGTTTACAAAAAACTAGACTATCAAACAATTTTTGCCGATAATGGAAGAGTACGGTCGCGGACACATAGTGGCCATTGCATCGTCGGCCGGCATAATGGGTAGTCCATATTTTACGGCTTATGGGTAAATATTACTTCAAAACTTTTGCTAAACTCCCTCCCATTCCCACCAACTAATGTTCCTTATACACTACATACCCACACACACACACACACACACACACACACACACACACACACACACACACACACACACACACACACACACACACACACACACACACACACACACACACACACACACACACACACACATTGCATGTATCCCAGTTTACCGGGGATATTGTACATACAGAACACCCACCCACACCTCACCCCCCCCCCCTTAAAAAGTAAACTAATTATTTAGCTATACGTCCATACAGTTCGACAAAGTTCGGTATTGTCGGCCTAATGTCTTCGCTACGCAAAGAACTGCACGAACTGGACAAACATACACAGATCAAGTTGACCACTATTTGTCCGCTGGGTATTAGCGGCACCGGTATCAATATACCCACTCGGACGAGATTTCCGAAAATCTTGCCAATCATGACACTGGACTATGCCGTCGATCTGATGCTGGACGCCATACTCAAAGAGGACAATCTGGTTGTCCTACCGTTTACATTCAAACTGATATTTTTTGTCTATCGGTATGTAAAACAATAAATAAAATAAAAATTAAGTTAATTATAATAATTGATATTTTTGTTTACCGCAGTATATGTCCGCTAAAAGTGTCCCAATTGTTGTTTGAATTTCTCGACTATGCCGTAGAGCCGCCCGGTTTTAACGCACCCATAGGTCGCAGTCACTATCATAACAATGGCAACGATCGTGATTATCGTAATCATCATTGATTTACGGTAGTAGTAATGATAGGCATACCATTAATCCCATTTTAATCCCTTTCCCCCCAATCACTATAGTTTAGGTTATCATTGAATTTTATTTTATCATTATTATCATATTTTATTGTATAATTGATCTAAAAAATATTGTTAACTCATGGGGAGGGGATGGGGGTGGAAAGCATATCATGTTATATACTGTACATTACAAATCTCTCTACAATTACCACCCATTCCCCCTCTCCAAAAAAAAGTGGCCAAAATATTTTCTTATCTCATATCATATATGATTTTATGAACAAAATATAACCAATTTTTTTTATATATATTAGTTAATCAATTGAGTGAAATATATAAATTACCGGTAAATCTATATTTTTTAAAGTTACTATAAATAAAAATTTGAATTATCATTAACCAACCAATAATAAAGGCAAATAAAAATATTTTTTATGTTACCGTAATTTTTTTTAAATAAAAAATAAAAACAATTTTTTTAACAATTTTAAAATAATTACTATTGATTTAATTAATATATTATATCATACTTTATATTAATATATTTTTATATATATTGTACGGTATATTAAAACATTTTTAATGATTTATTTTCACAAAAAAAAATTCTTTAAATTATTCATTAATTTACAATTCGTTTCGTTTATTTATTTTCACATTTTTTTCTGTTAAAAATTCAATAGTCAATTAAAAACAATTAATTAAAAGTATTATTTTAAAAAATAATTTAGTGCTTTGAATAGAAATTATTATACTTATAAAAAATAAAACAAATTAAAAACATTTACTTATAAAAAAAACATATTATTATTATTAAATAATTAATTATAAAAAAACAGATGATTTATAATCTAATCAATCAAATTATAAATAATAATGAATTAAAATTTATAATAAAAAAATCATTTATAAAAACTCAACTTATAATAACTATTTGTTTTAAAATTATAATTAATAAATTTGATTTTAAATATTAAAAAAAAACTAAAAACCAATTCAATAATATTATTAATAAATCAAAAAATCTATAGCTGTTTTAAACTGTTCAAAAATATACACAAATGAATAATTTATATATTAAAAAAAATCTAAAATTATAGTTTCATTGTGTTTTTCAATGTTGTTGTCAATTATAATTACTTATTTAAAATTTAAATAATATAATAATTTTTTTAATAATATAATAATAATAATAAAATTATATGAAAATCAATGGTATATTAATAATGTTTAAATAATAATAATAATAGTTATTATTATTATTATTATTATATGATTGCAATAGTGTTTTAAATATATATTACATCTGTTTTTTGTTTGTTTTGTTTTTTTTAAACTAATAATAATAAAAATCTAATGAATTTGTTGTTTGAATGAAATATTTTTCTTTTAAAAAGTTTTTCTTCTTCTTCATCTAAGATATGCTTTTTAAGAGACCGATGAAGACATGAGTGACTCCTCATAGCGACGACCCTTTCCTATGTATATCTCGGCATAGGGTATGTCCGGGTCTTGTGTTAACTCAATCGCCTGTTGTTTCTTCAGGACTAACAACGAGAAGAACTTTTGTGCGACCTATAGGTTTGGTGTTAATTGAAAAATCAATTATCAAATCAATGGTATACATGAATAGGGAGTGAATGGGTGGGTGGAGGTGATGATGGACATACCTGTTTTCGTCTATTATGTTTGACCAAAGTAGTGAAATGTATGGGCGCGACCTCCAGCTGCGATACCATATACTTAAGCAGTATATCTGTACGCCGTTTGGTTATCCTCTCCTCAAACTGTTCCTCTGTTTCGCCTTCAAACATGGGCTCAGGCTATATATATACAATCAGACAAACAATCAATTAGCGGATTGTTAGTTATGATTAAACAACAAATATATATATATATAATCAAAAATGATTGCAACACATACCGGTCCCACAGACATAGGCGCTCCGTAGTCGTCGTCATCGTCTTCATCTTGAAATGTGTCGAATGGCTGCTGAAATGGTTCGCTCGTCTGTAAGCTACCGGCACGCAAATCCTGAATGGATGAAACATCCCGTAGACGCGAGTCTTGATCTTCTTGTTGTGGTTCGGGTTGTTCAACGTCTTCACGGGCCACGTGATTGGTTGTTGTGACAGCCGGTGTCGGCGTTTTCGGTCGATCGGTGGTTTTGCGCTTCTTTTTTGCCGGCGATCGGGTATAGGACGGTGTTTTGGGTGTCTTAGGTGGTTCGGCAATCGGCGACAATTGGGGCAACTCTTGTTCAAGATCTTCAAGTTCGGGAAGCGGTGCGTGCGCCGACGGATCGTGACCGTTGACCAGTTCGCCTTCGGGCAGATACTCTTCGGATTCGGCTTCGACTCGACTGGTAATCAAGTGACGCGAATAGAGTACGATTAGTCGGGCGCACGGCATCAGTCGTTCGGGCAGTGAAAACATTTTTTCGGCAGTACCCGTCCGCTTCCAGTGCATCAGTTTTTTGGATGGCGGCGCCAAATCCAGTGTCGTTATGATATCGGTAGTGTCCGACAGCTGGGCTTTCATTTCTTCACCGGATAGTGTCTTGACTTCGTCGATAAGCATACCTAACTTCTTGCGCCGTTTACGCCGCCTCTCCAGACCGGGCGCTTCGAGCGGTTCCAATACCATTGTGTCGTGAATGTCGCTAATTTTGTGCGCGTCTGAGCCTTCGCGACGAATAGCCTCGAAAGGCTGTTTTTGTTGTGTGGGTTCGGGCGGTGGTGGCGGCGGCGGAGGAGCGAACGGCATATCTTCGTCGTCGTCAATCATAGGCGGTACCGAACCGGGCGTCGATGGCGGACCAGACGGTGCCATAGAGGCGGGCGCTCCGAACGACATACTGTCGCTGCGGTCGGACATCGCCGACTCGGGTCGCTGAACGCTGCGGGGCTGTTGTTCGGGCACTTCCTGTTGCTGATCGGTCTGCATCAGCTGCTGTTGCTGTTCCATGGCTTCCGGCGGTACAGGTATACCGAACATGTCTTCGTCGTCGACAATACCGACACCAAGTTCGCCGCCAAAACCGTCGTCCAGTGCCGGCCGATCGAACAAGTCGAGCGCCGATTTGGCGCCATTTTTGCCTAATAGTCGTTCGGATGTCGAATCTTTCAGATTGAACGTACCGTCGCTGGCGTGAATCGACGACATATCCGACCAGTCGCGTACGTCCTGCATAAGCGGATCGTCGACGCGTATACTACTCGGATCTTCGACCAGTGTTATGCTGCGAATGTTGGCGCTGGTGGCCGGAGCCTCCAATTGCCTAATAGTAACCAAAACAAAACAACAAAATTAGTGGTAAAAAAAACCTAATCTACTCTTTAATTAAATAAATAAATCACACATACATTGGCGCCTCAGCGATGAGATCAAAATCGTTGATAAAGTCGAGCATCTCTGGCAACGTAATGGCACTGATGGCGGCCTCGGTTTTGCCGTCGGGCAGATCGACAGCGCCCGGCCTGAACGCCGACTTGATCTTGAAGGCCGCATCCTGACAGTCCTGTAGCAGATACAGTGTTTTGCGGGCATAGATACGGACAATGCCCAACAATAGATGTGATGATGTCCTCAACGATAGCTTAACCTATGATCGGGTGGTCAAAGAGAGAGAGAGAGAGAGAGAGAGAAACATTGATGAGTTCATCGGTAGGAAAACACACGACCGCCGACTGACTAACCTTTGGCTGTAGTATAGAGTCGACACTTTCGACGATATTGGTCTCCAAGATCTGGGCTTTGGTAATCTTTTTGTCCCAATGAGCGGCCAACCAGACTCTGGCCAGCGGACCCTTTTTGCCCAACACAAACACTGAATAAAACATTGTCGGCGGCGGCAATAATGATGGTCACTCGCGGGAAAGGGGATGATGGGCAGTCAATCACGGCTCGCTGACCACCAATCAGAGCTGACAAACACACGCGCTCTGGGCGCGGGTCAGCAGCACTACAGAGTGTCCACTAATCGGTAGACCCGATGCGGCGGTGGTGGTGGTCGGGTATGATGTGTCGTCGACACCGGACAACAGATTCTGCAGACTATAAATGTCCGGTTGTTGTTGTGTTTGCAGACACAGAGACACAGAGAGATTGATTGATCAAAAAAATCACTGACAGATCTACTAATAGACTACCAGTGCTTTCCCAACAACAACAACAATAACATTAATATCAACAACAACTACAACAACACTACTATTACAGTATTATAACTCTCTCTCTCTCTCTATCTATCTATCATCCAATGGTTGGTCTGAATATCTAAATATTATTTTTGTATTTATTTGACGCCATATTTGGCACAACAGTTGTCTCTCTCTCTCTCTGAAAATGTTTTTGAAATTGTATTTTCAAAATACAGGGGAGTAGTACTGTAGTAGTGCTGTATATACAGTATATATACAGTGTATATGTTATGTTACTATTCCAATAGTATACATTAGCTGCACGTTAGTACATATAATACTTATACAGTGGGTGTGGCCTATAAGTCTATAATAATAACAATACACACATAATAGCTATAGTTAGTTACTATATATATATATATACTGCTATATCTATTAGCAACCGTATGCTAGTATGTATGGGGTATGGGGGGGGGGGGGGTAGAGTATGTATAATGCTATACGTATGCGTATATTACTACAGTGTATGTGTGTGTGTGTGTGTATTATGAAAATGGGAAGCACCTACTGTATTGAAAAACCTAACTGGGCACACAACCAATGGCCAGGGGTTGCGCCAAAAAAAAAAAATAACAGTTAGTAATACTACTATTAATACTACCAGTGCTAATACCCTACGCGCTGTGCGGCGCAAACACTGTGCGCGCTTATGGCCCCAACCAATCAGCGTCTAGGATACGGTAGTTTGAAAAATTGAAAAATTTTTCATTTGAAATAAATAAAAGTATACATTATTTTTTGTGGAAATACAGTACATGTATATACAGTACAGTGTATATAAAATGTACAGTCATTTAGTACAGTATGCATGTATAACCGTTTTATTTTCAACACACACACACGTGTTGCGACACCTAACGGGTGGGGTTGGGGTGTACGTGCACTAGTATATATAACCTACGTACGGATACTATTGGCGCGCGCGCCAAATAACCTATGAACTCTCTCTACACATACATATATATATATATATTCCCGCCCGCGCGCTTTTTTTTAAGGGTTACTTATTGCAGGGGGGTGGGGGTGGGGAATGGGTGGCCAGTGGTCAGCACTAAAAATTACCGAACTATATATATATATATATATACCTATATATATATATATATATATACCTATATATATAACACACGCAAAAATCAATTTTTATTTATAATTATTTTTTTTTGTTCAAAAAAAAAGTTATTACAAAATGTGTTTGTATTATAATTAAGTATTATTCATATATTAATTAATTAATAATCTTTTTTTTAAAAAAAAATAATAATTAATTAATTAAACTAAAACACACACACTTTCATTATTATTATTATTATTAGTTATAATTATTATTATTATATTTATAAAAAAAAATTTCATAATTATAAGTACCGGTAGAGTAGTAATAATAATAATAAACACAAAATTATTTTAAAGTTTTTTAAATTTTAATTATACAATCAAAAAATAATAATAATGTTTCGCTGTTTTACATTAATTAATGAGAGAAAAAAATCAAAAATGAATTCACAGATAGAAACAAAAATATGTCTAAAAAAAACATGAAATTGAATTATCAATTAATTAATTAATAATAATAATTAAAAACCAATAGTTTATCCAAACAATAAAATAAAAACAGTTATTACAATGAAAAAGTATTATAATTTTTTTTTTTAAATAAAAACATAGTTACGGTTATTATTGTTTATATTTTAATAATAATTAGTAATTAATTATTATTATATATCGGTGTAAAAACAGTTGTTTAGTTACTAAAAAAAAAATTATTTATTATTTAGTATTATTATATCATATTTTATCAGTCAAATCATATTTTCAAAAAAAAAACACAGAAAAAAATATGATAAGTGTGTGGTTTGAGTGCGCTATGAATGCTATTTAATTAATAATGAGAGATAATAATTATAATAAGACATTTGTTTTGTTTATAATAATAATAATTATGAGATAATAGGATATATATATATAATGTCTTCATATAAGAGAAAAAGAGATAATAATAATAATAATAATAAAGAGGTGATGATTGGTGTGTTGAAGACGCGCGCGCGAGTGTGTGGTGTGTGATGTCAGCAGCAGCGGCGGTAGATATGAAGGACAGTGGCGGAGGGGATGGGATAGTCGTCACCGAAACAGTTGACCACCCAATCGCTATACGTCGTCGTCGTCCACAATTCAATCAGTGCCCGCAACAGCCGTTAGCCGCCAACAACACAACCACCAGATTTACTCGTCGTCTTCGTCTTCATCCTCGTCCTCTTCGTCGTCATCGTCTTCGGGTTCAGATTCCTCCTTCTTCTTGCTGCCGCCCTTCTTGGGCGATGCCTTAGCGGCAGCCTTCGAGGGAGCGGCCGCTTTGCCGCTCTTCTTGTTGTAAGAGGCCATCTCCTGAACAAAACAAAGACAACAAACAAAACAATCAGACAAAAGACATTATCAAAGACGCCATCATCGGTGGTAATAAACCACTCTCTCTCCTCTCTCTATCTAATAACCCACCCGATCGTAGCGAGCCTTGTCCTTGTCGGCCAACTGTTGGTATCGGTTTTTGTCGGTACTGGCAATTACTTGCCAACGTTTACCGAGTTCTTTGGCCACTTCGCCTACGGATGAATCGTCGCCTAAGGTTTGCTTAACTTTTGGGCGTTCGTCGTTACAGAACCAGAAGAATGCCGAAAGTGGTCGCTTCGGTGCATTCGGGTCTTTGCCGCTACGTTTGCGTCGTTGCGGTGCCTTTGCCGGCGATTTCGACTTTGCCGATGACTTTGCAGCTGTCTTTCCTCTGGCCATTATTTACCGGTTAATCAACAGTTTTCCCGAAAAACTAGTGGTCAGACAGAGAAAAAAAAAATCAAATAATTAACTAAATTTATTAATAAAATACTATATGACTACTGCATGTGCCGTACGTTTGAATTATTAGTTGAAAACTATTTGATATAATAAAAGCGTTTGATATTTGAATGTATTTTCAGTTAGTAGACTGTCTTTACAACTAAAATATATCAATGGCTAACAAACAGCAAACACACAGTGAATATATATATAACATATATATACAGCAATGAGAAAAATATTTTTCAAACACATACACACACACACAATAGGCAATAGGGTTTTATACTTATTTTGCTGTACTGTATATGAAAACCAATGGTTAAGCACTAGCTATAGTACTGCTGGCAATTGGTTGTATAGTATATATCTGCTAATGTTTTTCAAAGCAATAAGTTTTTCAGAAAAATAGCAATGGCTTACAAACAGCACAACAGCACTATGTCTTTCTCTATGCAATTTTGCCAATGCTTTTAACTGTGTGTTTGAAAGAGAGAGAGAGAGCCTTATAATGTATTATTCACTGTATATAAAAACCCAATGGCTTTTCACTATATATATACAGTATATTGCTATAGCTATTGGTAGAGTACAGGCAAAACATAGACACAGAGAGAGAGAGAGAGAGAGATAGATAGAGAGGCACTCACTATACACAGTGTGTATGTATAGAGAGAGTTCAATACAATGCTTAACTAGTATTTTCTCAATGCTTTTAACACAGTGTATACTCTAACAGATAGATAGATAGAGAGAGAGAGAGAGAGAGAGAGAAAGAGAGAGAGAGAGAGAGAGAGAGAATTCAACGGCCAAAACACTGTGTATAATATTAGTTATATTATATGACTGTGTATTTGAATGCAATGGTAAATGACATGTACTGTACAGTACAGCAAAGTGTTAGCGCACATAAAATGTAAAAAACCGGTTAACTTGTATGTAGTATAGAGTACTAGTTAACACAATTTATCTCCAAATAAATAAAATAAAATTTCAAACTGTCTTTTATATACATGTATTTTGAATCGGCTTTTGAAACCTTTGTTCTCTATCTCTCTCTATATATAATAAAACTATAATAATATACTATGTGTTCATCAATAACGTCGTGATAAAAAAAATTAAATATAAATTAATTAATTGATTAAATTATTGATAATTAATTAAAACTATTATTAATAAAAATTATTATTTTTTTGTTTTGTTTGATTTAATTGAAATTAATTATATTTATTTTTTAGTTAATTAATTAATGTTTTGTGTGTTAATAATTATATTTTATATTATTTTTTTTATTCTGGCACACTTATGCAGAAGCCATCGTATTAAGCAATAGATTAGACACACTGTACTCTCCATTATAAAGAGTACTGTACAACAAATACAAAGCTATCCATTGATATATTAATACTGTAAGTACAGTATAATCAAACAGTTTTTTATTTAATGTAGCAAATAGTGTCGATGGCTGTCACATGTTTGTTTCGTCTAATGGTATACTTAAAAGTTAATAGTAAAGCAAGTTTTGGTTTTAAGTATACCATTAGACGAAGCATACATGTGACAGCCATCGACACTATTTTAGTATACACTGTACAGTACTTTATTGTTGTTATACACTGTGTGTATAAATATATAATAGTATTGTCATTGACTTACACTTTGCCAGCAATTGATTGCATAATACGATATACACATTGTATGTGTAGTACTGTATTGCGAAACCATGTGATCATTATATTTATAAAACATAACAAACAAACAAAAACATAACAAATATATGATAATATAATTTAGTTAATAATAATAATAATTATTATTAAATAAATATTTAAAAATTATAGTTACAAACAAACAAACAGATAGTAGTGTATAATAATAATAATAATAATAGTCAACAAACTTTTTTTTTGGGCCACCAATTGATCCGATGATAAACAATTGTTAACAATAACAACAACGTCCCGACGGTAACGACAACAATGTCTTAACCACCGATTGTTTTGACGATAAATCCAATCAATCAATCAATCAGATGAAGAAGTCAATCATCAGTAGTAGTGGTGGACTGATCTGATCTGATCTATATATTTATAGACCAATTAAAATAACAATAATAACCTTAAAATATATATATCGCCGATAACAACAACAACATTATGGTTGCCGCCTTCCCGATCGTCAAGTTGGCCGCACTGGCCTTTCGCCAGGTGGCCAAACCGATAGCCAACTCGTTCAAGACACGGGCAAAGTCGTCGCCGTTTTTTCGCCACTATGTCTGTATGCCGCCGGCCCAGCTCTACCATTGGCTAGAGGTTAACGTCAAAATGAAATTGCTAGGTCTCGGCAAACCCAATCTGGTACAGAAACTGAACGAAACGGCGGCCATCGAATTGGGTGCCGAACTGCTGGGTGAAACTATTATATTTTTGGCCGCAGCCGCTACCCTGACAGCCGAATATGTACGCCAGACAAGAAACAGTAACGCCCAGGCAATCGTATTGGAGGAACGGTGGACCAGTGCCGAAAAACGGTTAGAGGAACTGGAGTTTCTAGTTGATAAACAACGGGCCGAGATTACCGAACTGACCCGATTGGTGTATAAGTCGGATAGTAAGAAACAATCGCCGCCGGCCAACGGTACCGGTGATGGTAAACCAAAGACGGGACTATTTGGTCGACCAGTAGTTTAGTTCAGTAGTCTAGAAATGATCGACAAAATTAATTAATTAATTAATTGATTGATTGATTTATTGTTTTGTAATAGTTTTGTAAAACATAAATTATTTTACCGTTTAATTTGAAGTTACCGTATAATATAGACATTTATATGTATAAATATATATATGTTTGTTAAATTATGTGTATAAATAATATCTAATAAGTTATCGTAAAATTATATATTATTTACTGTATTGATTTTTTTATCACTTATTATTAGGATTAATTAATTAATTAATAACTCATATTATTAATATTATTAGTTGAATACTTACTACAGTACCGGTAATTTGATACATAATATATATATATATATATACGGTATTATTATTATATGCTATATAATATATAGTATATATATATATAAAGTTTGATAAAATATATTAATTAAATCAATAGTAATTATTTTAAAATTGTTAAAAAAATTGTTTTTTATTTCTTTTTTAAAAAAATATTTTTATTTGCCATTATTGGTTGGTTAATGATAATTCAAATTTTCATTTATAATAACTTAAAAATATATATATAGATTTACCGATAATTTATATATACCACTCAATTGATTACATAGGACAGTACCGGTAATTTGATACATAATATATACGGTATAATAATTATTTATTTAATTTAATTATAAGTTTTGTTTTCTAATACCACTTATGAGTGGTATGTTATCCACCAGTGATGGGCGGTATGAGTGCCACCACATCGTTGTCTTCCAGTACTATATCGGTGTCATCATCGGTAACATACTGTTCATTGATGGCAACGGCCAGTATTGGCCGCAATTCGGTCAACACCTGTAACTCTGGACTTGTTTGGAACAAGTAGTCCAACAACAACTGTCTAGACGGCCAGTGTCTGGTAACTAACGGTACGGCAACCCTGTCGGTGCCCACCCGATCCCTGGCCATTGCAAACAACAGTACCGATATTTCGACAGTCATTTCATTAACAATTAGTATTTATAATATTTTTTTTTGTAGAAATTTCTTATATATATATATATTATGAAAAAATACTCAAAAATTAATAATTATTATTATTTTATTTAAATTGTAATATTATTTTTTTATTATAACATTTAAAAAAAATTACCAGTAATTTATTAAATTAATTAATATTAATTAAGATTTATTAATATTATTAAAATTAATTAATTAATTAATCAATCAATCAATCAATTAATTATTTAATAAATATATGTATTATATATTTTTAATTAAATAATTTTATAGTTATTTGCCATTTAAATTATTTTAATATACTGTACTATCATACATATACAGTAATGTTACACAATTTGTTTATAAATATTACCATGCTTAGAAAAAAATTTATATAAATAGTAATAATAATAATAAAATTATTATTGTTTTGTTATTATAAGGTTAGTGGCATCTATTGGTTTTAAGTTATTTAGTTTTTTTATTTATTTAATTATTTATTATAAATAATTATATCACAAAAATATATATATATTCATAAATATAAATTATTAAATAATAAAAATTAAATCTTGAAATTGATTTCAACATAGATAATTTATTTTCTACATTATTATTATTAGCTATTGATAATTATTTTTTATATATATACAACTAGTTATAGTTTATTGACTTTTAAACAAATAAACAAAAAAATACAGTATACTACCTAGAACAATTAATTAATCATTTTTATATTCAATATTTCCAATATTTTAATTTAATATTTAGTACATTAATAAAAATGTTTAACTTTTAAACCATTAATTTTTTTCTTTCTAAAATTTTTTTTAAAAGTTTAGTTAATTTAAAAAATAAATATTAAAATATATTTATTTTATTTTATTTTTTTGAAAAATAATTTGACTAAAACTAAACACTTTTAACAGTTTACACCCACATAGGTAGACATACACCCACACCCCTCCTAACACACACACACACACCTTCTATCACAAAAACAACACATACCCACCCGTACTATCACACACACCCACCCCTCCTAACACACACACACACACCTTCTATAACACAAACAAAACATATCCACCCTTCATATCACACACACACACCACCCCTCCTATCACACACATCCACACACCCCTCCTATCACACACCCACCCACCCCTCCTATCACACACATCCACACACTCCTCCTATCACACACCCACCCCTCCTATCAGACACACACACCCACCTCTCCTAACACACATATATATACTAACACACAGCTAGACACCCACCCCTCCTAACACATACACACACACACACACACACACACACACATCGTTACGTTGTTTATGTGTGATCTGTAATCACTGTTTTTTATACATTCAGACAAACATTTTTGTTGTGCAATAAAGTCATTGAATTTCAAACACAAACACAAACACACAGTTAGTGTTTGAAATCAAATCAAATAAAACGATTCATTAGTTTTCATTGATTTGTTTATATTTTACTTTTGATTGGATCTGTTGGTTGTTTTCACCAATCAATCAATCAATCAATCACTGGATGACTGACTGACACAAGTAATCAGTGGACCAACTGATCCAAACAACAGACTTGTCTTATATCGCGATATTATTATCATTAAAAAAAAACAAAAACACAATGTCTTCGTCATCGCCGTCGCCGCCGTCGACCGGCAACAGTCCTCATCGGTTCAATGCCGGACCAATTGACTCGTTTTACGATCCGGACTTTACGGCCGACATTTCAAACAAGATGAGAGTTCCCGAACGTATTGTTATCGAGTCTAACAATACGCTCGATGATCCGGCCATCATTGCCGCCGCCAAATCGCAAACCTATCACAATAACAAACCCATTTGGATGACTGTTCCCGAAAGGATACTTGTTGTCGGTTAGTAGTGTCCGGTGTTTGTCGATGACCACCACCACTGTCTGCTGTTTTTGGGATCAGTTTATGTCATCTATCACTCATATACTCTCTCTCTCTCTGTCTCTCTCTCTGTCTCTCTCTCTCTGTCTCTCTCTCTGTCTCTCTCTCTGTCTCTCTCTCTCTCTCTGTCTTTCTCTCCGTTTGTCTCTCTCTCTGTCTGTCTCTCTCTCTGTCTCTCTCTTTCTGTCTTTCTCTCCGTTTGTCTCTCTCTGTCTCTCTCTCTCTCTCTCTCTGTCTATATATAAATATATATATATTTATTTATTTCAATTGATAGGCAACGATAGCCATATGTCCGGCCGCGAACAGCTACCCGAACTCAAACTGGAAAACTCGATGATCGGTATGGGCGACGGCGACTACTCGTCAAACGGCGAACCACTGGCCATTCATCTGACAACACCGCCTCATTCGCTCAGACTCGACGAATACTTGTTTCCGACGGCCGGCGACGGTCCGAACGTACAGTCGTCGGCGACCACTAACGGCCCCAACAGTAGGGGATCCACTGCTGCTTCACAGCAACGGCTAAGGCGTAATGTTGTACTGTCCGGACTGGCCACCAATGACGACGATATGTGCGTATATATCATATATATAACATACGACGACATTGTCGTCATTCAAACAACTGATCCATTGATTTATTATTGATTTTTAAAAAAATTTTTAATTAACAGAGAAATAGCTCGCAAAGAGTCGACCAACGAATCGCCTGAATATCAAAGTTATTACAATTCAAATCAATCGATGAACGATTTGAGCGGCGACTATACGGCCTCCGGAGGCGGCGGCGGCGCTGTCGAACCGAACCAACTACGCAGACAAGTGAGGTCACTGTCGCGTCGGGTGGCGGCCATTGAACTGGAAAACCAGAACCGACACCAACGGGAAGTATTGGTCTATACGGTAGGTGTCATATACTTTCTAATCAAAGGCCTGTTTTGGATTCGTCGACAACTGTGAACATAGTGTAGTCGAAACAGTGATGAGAGGACAGTCGTGTGTATCAATCAGCCGAAGTGTATTGAAATGTTATTTTTTTGTTATTATTGTTGTCAGGTATCGACAATAATTTATAACAAAATTATTATTTAACTGATGATTATTATTACAGTAATAACACAATAAGCAAAATACTGAAACAAAACTTTTTGTTTGTTTGTTTAGTTTTCAAAATATTTATTTGTTTAGTGAAAATAACTTTACTATTATTCATACTATTATTATTATTTACTGTCTTATTGACCAAAAAAATGTTATATTAGACTTCAATATATTGTATTTATCTTAAAAATAATTGTTTTTTTTTCATTACTTTTTTTTGACCCGTTTTTTATATATAAATATAAATACTTTGTATTTTTTATTTATTACAATTATTATTATTATTATTATTATTATTATTACAGTATATTTTAATTAATTATTTAAAAAAAACTATAGTACAGTAAATTCTATATATACTGTATTTATTACTATTATTATATTTTTTTAGCTAATTTTTAATTGTTTACCGAAATTTCAAAAAATATATAGAAATTTGATTTGAATTCACTGTAAATATCTATATAATACTAATTAAAATTATTTAAAACGCCGATTGATTTTGTTAACTTAATTAATAGTTAATTTTATTAAATTTTTAGATTTTAAATTATAAATTTTATTTATGATGAAACTAAACAACAACAACAATAAATTTTATTACCAGATATAACAATCACTTTATTATTATTATATTATTATTATTATAATGAATCTATAGGTTTGGTTCCGCTTTCAAAAAAAATGTTTGGGATTTTATGATTTTTTTATATATATAATTAAATATAAGTAATATATAGTATAATGTCGTATAAATTATTTTATATTATAATATATGTTATATAAGTTATATTATATATATATATTTATATATACTGTATATATGCCTGCATTTAAAATGGACAGTTATGTGTGTGTGGACTGAAAATTAGGTGGTGCCGTATATATATGGTATGGTATGCTATGTCTGATTTGGTAAGTCTATCAACGATACACTACTAGGCTGTGGTGATGGCATCGATGTAGTTGTCGGACATCGGGTTGTAATGACTGTTTGATCGGTAGTGTCGACAGTGACAGCTGCAGCTGCAGCACCACTACTGTCGGTAACGGCAGTACTGCCGGCACTGGTAGTCACTGGTGTTGCCGGTGGCGATAGAGACGGTTCGGTAAATATTATATGCGGTACCGATTTATCTGCAGTACTTTTTTTCGGCTCATCGGTTGCCGACGTATAGGAATCCACTGACGAATTGCTTTGGTTAAGAAATTCCGGTAAATCTTCTCTATCTTCGGATATCTGTCCGAGAAACGAGTTGGCCGTATGATAGCTTCCGGTATCGCTTTCGGTGGACGACTGTTTTGGCTGTTGTTTCATGTCTTTGCGTTTCTTTTTGAACGGCAAATCAAACCGAACAATGTCTTGATAGTCGACTAAGTGGCCGTCGGCTCCGATATCGGTATCGTCGATAAGCGCCACTATTATCTCGGGATCATCGTTATTGATCACCGATTCGGCGGCGTCGGCGGCCACTGTTGTTGTTGTCTCGATCGGATCGTGACTGCACTGTTGGCGTTTGAAACTTTTGCGCCGTTCGCTGGTCCGGTCACTCGTGTGCCGTTTGACCGACACTTGTCGGACGAGCGCCTGACCGGACTGTATGGCCAATGAGGCGCTACTACTGCCGTCGGCGGCCGCCGGTATGATCAGAATCTGTTGTTCCGAATCTTCCAGTCCTTCCTGTATGTTCGGCAACGATTGATGGTGTAACCAGTTTTCCTGTTCGACGGCATTCATGGCAACGGCAACACCGACACCGACGCCAACTCCGGTTCCGCCGCCGCCACCGACGGCTGCGCTATTGCTGCTGATGTCCGGCGGTTTCGGCAACAGAATAAGCGACGGATCTAACGACTGGCGGCGCATCAATAGTTCGGCTTTGCCGGGACCACCATCGCCGCCGCCACCGACGACGCCTGGTATGGCCAATGTGGTCAACTTGAGCACATCAGCCGCTGTTGTTGGTCGGCGACCACCACTACCACCACTACCGTCAGACAGTTGTCTAGCGGTCGCCAATTCCGACGATATCTCCGACAATTCGGAACTCGAGTTATTATTGTCGGACAGTTTGATTTTCGGCAAATAGTATACCACATCCTGTTGTTGCAGACCGTGTTGTTTTAGGTCACCTTTTTTCGTATCGTCGCTGAACGTTACCCGCGACTTGAATGGCCTAATACGTAGACGCGGATCCATTACACGATTGCCGCTCTTGAAAATGGACGACTTGGGCACCTTTATCTTAATACGATGGGCGGCTGCCGGCTGGGCGGCGCTACTGTGCGACCTTTGGACGGCCAGCGCATCGATCACACGTTCGCTTATAATTTGCTGTACAGATTGCGACAACAGTTGAGCTCCTCGTCGGCCACCGCTGCCGAAACCGGCGGCAGATCCACCACTATCGGCAGGTCCATCGCTGCCGCCGCCGACGCTGCCGTCGCCGCCGATGGCGCTGCCGATACTCGAAATGCTTGGCTTATGAAAGCCGCTATCTTTAGGCAAAGGTTGCGTACCATAGCCGTGAATCGGGCGGTTAAGTAGCGGCATATCGAGTAGCGACTGGACGGACTGTGTCGATGACGATGATGTGATGAAGTGTTGGCCTCTGACGGCTGCTGCTTCGGCTGCAGCGGCTGTACCGCCGCCGGTAGATTCACTCGTAGCCGTTGTTGCTGCCGGTGGTATATCGATAATGAATTCTTGCGCCGCTGGTGCTGGTGGTGACCAACCGGTAGTTTTAGATGCCGGTGCTTGTTGTGGTTGATATTGTTCTTGGTGTTCATCGGACCTATCATTAGGGGTGACCACAAATTTTTTCTGACATTATCGTTGGCGTAATAAAATTAATTGTTATAAAAAAATTTTTGTTGTTTTTTTTATGTTTAAATAATTTAAGTTATTATATGTAATAAAACGTGATATAAATTATATATTTTTTTTAATTTAGTGTAATATAAGATTAATTTATATATATATATATATATATATATTGTGTAATAATTTATTTACTGTATAAAAAAAAGTTTTAATTAATTTGTTTTTTAGTTTTCAAAATTTCCCAAAAAAAAAGTTATAGAATATTATGATATATATATTGTATAACTAATTGTATATTAAGTATAAATTTTTTTATGAAATTGTGTGAAATGATTTTTGGTGTCAAAAAATTTCAACATAAAATAATCATAATATTTTTTTTTAAATACACTATGACTAAGTAAAGTAAAGTTTAACTGATTCATCAAGATAATTTAACACATTTTTTTTAAATGCATATTTAAACTTGAGCCATATATTGTATTAAATAAGTTATGGTTAAATTTTTAATAAGTTATTAATATAATTATATAGCTGTATATACTGTATATAATTTATATTTTAAATAAAAACAGTCATCTATGATACAGTATTATAAATTTTATAACTTATTTACTACAATATAAGGTAATTGAGTTAACATTTAATTTTAAATACTACATTTGTGAACCTTATGTTTAATATCTATCTTGATGATTTTGTATTCAAAAAAATAAACTATATTTTTTTTTGTATCAATAATCTATTATGTTGTCATACATGTCAATTAATTATTTATTTATTTAGAAACAAATTAATTAATTAGACAACAAAATTAAAACATTACTAAATGAAATTATCATTTTATAATCATTATTATTAATTAAATGTGTTTTATGTATGTATGTATGTGTTTATGTATGTATGTATGTGTTTATGTATGTATATATGTGTTTATGTATGTATATATGTGTTTATGTATGTATATATGTGTTTATGTATGTATGTATGTGTTTATGTATGTGTTTATGTATGTGTTTGTTTATGTATGTATATATATATATATATGTGTGTGTTTCTGTTGGAAACAAATGCGGGGCCAATATCTTACCCCCGGATACCTTGAAATTCGTGGCCATAGTTAGCGGCGGCGGCACCGGCACCGGCAGTCACAGTGGTCATATCGGTATCCATTGATCCGATGGAACCGCCCGACCACATTGGATTCAATCCCGTTTCGACCATTGTTTCCGAATCCATGGACGGTATACTTTGGCTTTGGGTTAGTTTTGTATGTTTTTTCGACGCAAACACATTCCAGACCGAGCTTTTCATCGACGACTGGTGATGACCACCACTGCTCTGAATAGTGGACGTGTCGTTATCATTGTCCGACCCGTTATTGTCGTCGTCATCGAACTCGGGTATCACTAGATTATGCTTCTCAGTGGGAACACTATGTATATATATGGATGGATAGGACAGTTAGTTAAGTTAATCATCATCAGTAGTAGCACTTACTTATAGGCGGCCACTGAGCCCCGGTATGTCTTGACTTTATGGGCGACGGCAGCCTCAGTGTACGGCAATTTGATGTCCATTTCGTCAAAGTACTGATCCTTCATCAGCGGCGGCGGATCCGAGTTGAGTATATCGACGCCGAGAAACGACACCTTAACGTGTCGGTCGATAATCCAGTTTAGTTCAAAATCTTCGTCGTCGTCACCAAACGGATTGATCAACTGTTCGCCTAACTGTTCGCCCGTAATATACATATATATAGACAACAATAAATGCATTGAATAGATAGATAGATAGCTACCCATACCTTTAGTAGACCCATATATAGGATAAACTGTAATAACGTAAATATTGGAAAATAATATTCGCCGTACTGGTGGACAACAACCTTATCGGGACTGGCGTCGGGCGACTGGTGTATGTGCTGTCGGCCCAACAGCGAGGCCAAGAAAAACGCCTGCGTCGACAGTGTGACCACCTATGGATAGGCAGTGTGTGGGTATGTGTGTGTGCAAAACAAATTAGTATAAATAATTTGTGTGATAACACCCCCACCCCTCCCCGCGCACTCAACAAAAAAAAATTGTTTGGATTTAACGGTACGCGAACTCACCTGAGTGTAGACCAATGGAATGCTCACCCAATCATAGCTCCAAAGTAGACCACATTTGGTGCGAAATTCATTGAATTCCTATATATTATATATATATATATATATAGAAAATATCAGATTATAAGTTATAAATAATAATAATTATTATTATATTTTTTGTACAGATTTTTTGTTTCTATATATAATAATAATAAAATAAAAATTTATTAATAAAATTTATAGATTACTAAATTAATTACGGTTTATAAATTGATTTTTTGTTGTTGTGAAATTGCAATTATTTTTATTATCATTTATTTAATTTATTTGCTAAAATAAACTATATTTTTTAAATATTATTACAGTTTCTAATAAATATATATTATCATTATTTTTAAACATTGTGTTAAAGTTTAAAAATAAAAATATTAAATATTTTTTATATTAGTATTTTGAAAATTATATTTAAAATTACAACTATTAAATTTTTAAAAAAAATGTACATGATACTTTAGACAGAGTGCATAAATTTTATAAAATATTTTTTTTTAAAATTCAGTGATTAATTTTTATACAATAAATATTAGTTAAAAAATAATTAATTAATTTTTTTTTGTTAATATAGCTTTTTTTTAAATCATAAAAATATTTATAAACTGAAACAAATTAATAGACTATTATTATATATACTATTATATATTATTATATAAATATATATCTATCAGTATATATATTATTATAATTTATATATTGTGATAAAATACAAATTTATTTAATATTTATTAGATAGTACTAGTAATGATAAATCTATTTTTTTTAAAAATACAATTTTTTTTTTAAATTGATTAGATAATTAACAAGTTAGTTTTATGTAAGTTAAATATATATATATTAATTAAAAAAATTTAATTCTAAATATAGTAAATTGTCAAAATAAATTAGTTTTTGTATATAAAAAACTATTATTTTTAATTTTAATTATATTAGAAATATAAACTAATTTGTATTTTTTTTTTAAAAATAAATGTATTTAATTGCAAATAGTTTACTGATATTTTTATAATTATTATCATTATATCATTGATAGAAAATATTTATATGCCTTTTATTTTTTTGAAGTATTATAATTTTGTTTTTGTATACATATATATATTTAAAAACATAAAAATATTTTTAAAAAACTCATTATTCATATAATTTAAAATTTACAACAACAACAAAATATATGTATAATATTTTATCAATTATATAAAGTCATGTTTTTTCCAAAAAACTGATTTTATATTAAAATTATTTAACAAACATATCATAAATAAAATACTCTATTAATAAATTACAGTTTTTAATATATATATATAACATATATATATTGAATATATATATATATATATACCAGTATACTGTAAAAATTGATTTAAATGTTTGTCTAGAATCTGAATAATAAAAAATTAAAAATAATAATAATAATAATTATTATTATCCTAACCATTAATAATATATGATTTTTTTTGAAGATTAGATGAGTTATAAAAAAAATTTAGCTAAAAATACAAATATTGAATATATATATTCTGTATAAATTAATTCAAATATTTGTCTAGACTTTAAATAATAAAAAACTTTAAAAATAATAATTATTATTATTATTATCCTAACCATTAATAATATATAATTTTTTATTTAATGAGATTTTTTATTATAAAAAAATTAACTAAAAATACATATATTGAATATATATATATGATATATACCTCCATAATCAGTTTGAGTCCACCCGAATCGGTAATCCGACACTCGGATCGGGCCTCCCGAAGCAAATTGACAAACCAGGTGCACGGTATCCAAAACGTATTGAACTCATGGGACGGTACCGATGAATACATCTCGAGTTCCGGTTTGGTCATAAAACCGGCTTCAATTAGATGATCTTTGGTCGGGAATCGGCGCTTAACAGGTATGCTAATCGACCGGAGCACTAGTACCAGGGTCAGATTCAGATAGCGCATCAATGTACGTCTAAGCATACGACTGGTGTCGTCACTGCCCGGAACGTACAGTGCAATGATATTCATCAACCTATAAATATATAGTATATATTGATATATATATATATATATAGTTTGGGTACATATATAATAAGGGAGGGTTATGTGTGGTAGGTGTGTGAGTGTGCGAGAGAGAGACTGAGAGAGAGAGAGAGAGAGAGAGAGAGAGAGAGAGAGAGGTTGGGTACCCCATAAAATAAGAGGATTATATATATGGTAGGTGTGTATGTGTTGAGATTGGCTATCCATAAAATAAGGGATTATATATGTGTTAGGTATGGGTCGGTGTGTGTGTGTGTTTGTGTATGTATGTGTGTTTGTTTGTTTAGGTATTCAACAAAAATAAATATATCAATATATATATATATATAAAAGGTTTAATTATTAGTTTAGAAAAGTTATCCTACACCTAATTTTTATTATATCATATACTGTATACTCATCTATATACATATACATGTATATACACTGTATATATATATATAATAATAATATTTATATAAACAATTTAAATATATATATATATATATATATATATATAAATATAAATATCATTACATATATTTGATATACAGTATACAAGTACAGTATATATATATATATTTTTTTTGAATTTTTGTTTTCTGTTCTGTATAGGAAAGGTATTGTTAGGTTAGATGGTGTTGGGTGTTGGGTGTATGGGTGTGTGGGGGTGGGTAGGGGGTGACCACCACCTACTTGTCAGGCCATGGAATGGCTGTGTACTGTTGCCACCAACGGGTAGCCGTAAATGATACATAAAATCCCAGTATAAATGAAAGCGGAATTATTTCGACAAAACTCGAACAAAATATCACAATTCGCTCAAAATATCTGTCAAAAAAAATTTAAGACAAACTGAGATTAAAATTTTAATTAATTATAGAGATTATTGTATTTTTTAATTTTTTTATTAATATAAAAATATATATAAACTTATATTTTAAACTATAATTTTGTTTGGGTTAATGGATTAATGGAAAATAATTTTTTTTAATTATCAACAAATAGATATATAATTTTTTTTATATACAATTAGATAAATTTACATTTTAAAAAAAGAAATAATTATATAATTATATATAAATACAATTATATAGAGTAATAGAAATAAAATTTAAATATAAAATGTAAATTAATTAATAACAAATAAAAAAAATTTTAATTTATTTTGTTTTAGTTATATTTACAATATATAAAAATTTAATAACCTATATTATTATTATTATTATTAACTTAATAAATTATATTAAAAAATATAATTAATTTTAATTTATTAAAGTTTTTAAACTAATAACTTCTATTTTAATTATAATTTTGTTAATTAATTTTAATTTTATATAAAAAATTAGAAATTTAGTATAACTTTTATAATATAAATTTATATATAATTGTTTTTTTAAATAAATTTAATGTCATAAGAGATGCAACAAAAAATCTTAATATAAATACAAATTAATTTTAATTATATCTAAATTTATAATTCCTTAATATAAAACATGTGCTATTGTTTTAAATAAAAAAATTAAAAACTTATTTATAACTATAGCTTAGTTAAAAATAATATCAGTATTTTTTTTGCTATATTTTTTTATTTAAATGCTAAATAAATTTCTAAAATACATATATACTGTATATACAGTACTATAGTATTTGATACACAATTTTTTCTAGAGTACTGTAAATTGAAAATAAATATTTTATGTTTGTTGTGTATGTATGTGTGTGTGTGTGTGTGTGTGTGTGTGTGTATGTATGTATGTATGTATGTATGTATGTATGTATGTATGTATGTATGTATGTATGTATGTATGTATGTATGTATGTATGTATGTGTGTGTCTAATAATTAGCCCGACAATTGGCTAAATGCCATATTAGTGGTTTAAACTTTAAAGCATGCATTTTGACTTAAAATAAAATAAAAACAATATATTGTACACTAGTTTTTTTGTTGTTATAATAATAAAATTAAAAGAGTTAAGAGAGAGAGAGAGAGAGAGAGAGAGAGAGAGAGAGAGAGAGAGATTTTCTAGACTTCATTAAAAATAAGAGTCAGTTAAATGTGCGCTCATTTAGTTTTGAAAGCATTTATATTATTATTTTGTCATTTTTTTTTGTTTGATAGTTAAGTTTAAAATTTATAGTTATTATTAAATGTTAGACACATACATACACATACACACACACACACACACACACACACACACACACACACACACACACACACACACACACACACACACACACACACACATACATACATACACACACACACACATACACACACATACACACATATACACACACATACACACACATACACACACATACATATACATACACACACATACACACACTTATACATACACATTATCTAAATGATAAATAGCAACTTAAATTATTGTGGTACTTAACATTATAAAAAACTTAATATACATTATATATATATATATATATATATATTAACAATAAAATATCATTATTTTTAAATACAATAATTTTTATCTTTAAAACCAAAATATGTGTACAAACTATTAAACTAATGGCTAATAAAACATTTCATAGATTTATGAAAAGGATATTCAAATATTTCAAGAATTTGTGTCACAATTATATATAAAATAAAATTCTGTTACTCTCTCTCTCTCTCTCTCTCTCTCTCTCTCTCTCTCTCTCTCTCTCTCTCTCTCTCTCTATCTATCTATCTATCTATCTATCTATCTCTTTGACTGTTTAAATATAATATACTGAAATGTATTTATAATACTTATAAAATTTATTATGTCTGCACAATATAATAAAATGTTATAATAAATTATATTTATTTTTTTTATAATAAAAATTAAAAAACAATTTTTTTTTTGAGAAACTATTGTTTCCTGTATATAATCCTTAATATACAGCATTAATATATGTATACTGTATATGATTTTTTTGCACCGAAAAAAAATCTATTTTTAAGTTGAGAGATAAAACAACATAAAGAGATATATTGTAAGTGAAAGAGAGAGAGAGAGAGAGAGAGAGAGAGAGAGAGAGAGAGAGAGAGAGAGAGAGAGAGAAATTTATGCCATTTTTTATATATATACTATACAACTAACTAATTAACAAAAATTTTTTTAAGCATACATTTTATGTAAAAACTATTTTTCAATGCTATTTATATAAATAGTGAGTGAAAGTTGTTTTTTATGTCACATTTAAGTAAAGTTAGTATTTTATTATTATTATTATTAAAAATATTTCATTTTAAACCAAATAAAAAAATCATAATATTTTTATATTTTCATATTTTCTGATGAAATAAATGGCAATTTTTTTCATAAACACACAACTCTTATATAAATAAATAATTTTTTTTGCACAAAGTTTTATTTATAATAATTTTTTTATAAAAAAAATTATATAATATTTGTTGCAAAAAATAATTTTTTGATTGATTAGCACTTTATTAGTATTTAAAATATTAAAAATAAATAATATTTTAAAAAGTTATCTATTAATATATAGTAATCATATATATATAAACATAAAACATATAACGTAAATAAATACATTATGAAAATAAATATATATTAATTATAAAATTAATTATCAAATTTTTATATTACTTTAGATTAATATATGCAATATATTTCATACAGTTTCAATACAGTAGTATATACTATATATATAATATAATATCATTAACTATGTTAAACAATACAATACACAAAATATTATATATTTTGTACTGTAATTTTAATGATACACTTTTTTTTGTTAGATAGTTATATATCTTTGTGTAGTTTATACTGTATTTAAATATACACTATATTTATATACAGATATATAATATAATAAATTTTTTTTTATAGATATATAAATATTTAAAATCCTTGGCATTAGAGCGCCAGCAAAATCTTTTATACTATATTTATATATAGCTTCACAATTAGTTACAGTATATATGAAATTTGATAGTATTTTATATTATATATTTAGATATAAGTTATTTTATTTTTTGAAATAAGAAATGTATGTATGTTTAGATAGAGTCGGATAGAGAGAGAGAGAGAGAGAGAGAGAGAGAGATGTTTTGGCGATTTTGCAAAATGTATGCAAAAAAAGAGGTCAAACATTGTATGTTTTTTAAAACATAAAATAATAAAAAAAATTATTTTGCAATTATTATTATTATTATCTTTATGTTCAAACAATTAATCATATTTTTTTATTTGTCTATAAATTTTTTTTACTATTGATTATTGTGCTACTAATTAAACAAATAATATAAATTAAAATTATTATTTTTAAACAAACAATATTATTCTACAAAATGCAAACAAACAAATATTTATAAAATAAAAATTTTTTAAATTAACTAAATATCAAACTAACGTTTTTTTAAAAAAAAACAAAATTTTAAAAATTATTTTACATATTATAATAAATACATAAATATTTTTTTTTCAAACATAATTATTAGAAATTAGAAAAATAATACTAAATTTTCAGATTTTTGTATAATTTTTTTTAAAAAAACAAAAAAAAAGCTAACCTTTTATAATATTCAGACATTAGATAGTCGTAGGACAGTGCGATAATTAGGTACAACGATATAAACAACAGTAGCTCCTTGTATAACAATTTCCATATACTACCCCTCCAGCGCCAGAGTAGCCGAAAAAAGCCACCCGTGGACGATGAGGCCACATCGTACTGGTAGCTAACAGTCATATTTGGTCAGTTAGGTTTAATGGGAGGGGTGGGTGGATGGCTAGATGAGTGGGTGAATGGGATGAGTATATATAACCCGATTGTTTGCTGATAGATAACAATAGCACACAATATATATTAAATATTGTGTTTTTTTTTAAATTACACAAAAAAACACTATTAAAGATAATTATTATATAATTTTATTATTGTAATTGCAATTGATTAATATAAAAATTGAAAAAAACTTTTTATATTATCAATATAAATTCAATTAATTAATTAATTAAAGTTGCATGTATATATATTTTTTTTAACAAAAATAATGATAACTATGTTGATATTGATGATGATGACAATGATGATGATAATAATAATAATTTATTATTATTAATATTGTTATAAATTATCAAATTAAGTTTGCTATGGTTATTGTAATCATTATTATTATTAACTATTGTTTTAATTATTATTATTATTATCATTAAATAATAATAATAAATAACTTCCATATTTAAGGCACAAATAACTATATTTGTTGAAAATATTACATTTTATTTTCCCCACACAATAAAAGATTTGTATCACAAATAAAAAAAAGTTTATTTTTTCAATCAAATATCATTTTTTTTATTTAAAAAAAAAGTTTCAAATTTCATATTTAATTTTTTTACAAAAAAAAATCAGTTATTCATTGTATAAACATTTTTTTAATGTATATTTATAGAGGAGAAAAAAATCATTATTATTATTTTACATCAATAGTTGCACATTTTTTTCATCGAAAAAAATATAAAATAATAATATTTATCATTGAATTTACATGAAAAAAAAAACTTTTTTTAAAAAAAAGTTAAAAATGGCTCATTGTTTTTAAGTGATTATAATTATAAATATAAATTATAATATAATTTATATATATATATATATATTATGAGATATACAGTATATATACTGTATATTTACAAATGTGTAGCAAATTGTTGCTTTCATATGACTTTTTTCTGTGTGTGTGTGTGTGTGTCGTCTAAAAGGCATCAGAAAAATATTTCGCATATAATATATATATATAAATGTATTTTAAAATTTTTTTATTTAATGTCTTACTATTGGGTATAATTGGGATGTCATCCCAATGTAGTGATGTTGTTGTTGATGATGATGATGCCAGTGCTCTCATTAGGTATGAGCGCTAGCGCTCTCATCTATTATATATATATATATGTGTGAGAAATGTTGCAATATATATATATATATAAATTGTAATAATTTTGTTACCCTCCCCCCTCCCATCCCCACCCCACCCATCCTCAACACTGATTTATAATTTGATTTAATGAATCTTATATTTAATTAATATAATATAATTTATTTATAACATAATTTTGAAATGAATTTTTATATAATTATAAATAATAAGTGATTTATTAAAAATAAATAAATAGATGTATAATTTATTTTTGTTTAAAAAAATTTTTGTTTAATTTATTTCAATTTATTATTATTATTATAATTTTTTTGTACAAATTATTTATAATTAAAAATACATTTTTTGTTTATTTATTTATATATTTTACAACTTTTATTTTTGTTAAGAGAGAAGTTATGAGAATATTTTGTACAATTTATTTATTATTTAAATAATTATTATTAAATAATATATATATATATATATATTTGTATATATATAAAATAAATATTACAATTTATTTAATTTATTATAATCAATAAGATTATTTATAATTTTATTATATATTTTTTAAAAAATAATTTGTTAATAACTAATATTATTTTTTTTAATAAAAATAATTGTATTTATTAAATATTTTCACATATTTTTCAATAATTTTCAAAAACATACTGTATTATACAAATAAATGCAATTAAATTAATCATTTAAAAAAGTAATAATATAGTATTTAAAAAAATTATTAAATAATATTTTTAAATGTCAATTATTTTTATAAAAAAAAGATTGAGTAAAAATTTATTCCTAGTTTTAATATATACAATATTATATAGTATAATGACAAACATATTTATATATATATATATACTGTATATTATGTATACATTAATTAATTAAAATAACAACTAATTTATTATATATTTATATATAAATACCTAAAAAATATTATTAATATTTATTAATTATTTTTACTACTACTTCTACTAATAATAATAATATAATATAACATTTTGTTAATAATTTATTAAAAATATATTTAATATTATTATTATCTTAAAAATCGAGAGTGAAAGAGATAAAGACAAAAATATTATTTATTAAATACTATATATATATATAATCTATATATATATATATATATATATTACAAATAGTGATTGTAATCTACTATAAGTTAATTAAATAATTAATAAGTTATAATATATAATATATATTTTGTATTGGAATTAATATAACTTATTTTTCAATTTAAATTAAACTACTACTACTAATAATAATAATATTTAAAAAATTAATTTAATAATTATAAATAACAGATAAACCAATTCTGTAACAATAATAATAATAATTATTATTATACAGTATATCATTCAAAAAAAAAATTCAATAATTATCCTAAATATATATATTTTGTGTGAAAACATCAACAATAAAAAACAGACAAAAAAAACAGACAAACAATTTGATGTAAAAATTTTTGTTTTTGTTTATATATATATAAAAACTATACCATAAATCTGTGTGAACGGTGTGTGTGTGAGAGAGAGAGGGGGCGTAAAGGGCGCTAAAAATAGTATCGGTGTGTGTGTGTGTATGTGTGGTCAAGACATGGAGGCGCCCAGAGCTCGCCTCGTATTCTCATAGACTACATAACTAATACTAACCGCCGGTGCGACTTTCATAAAGTTGGGCGTAATGCCCCGATAGAGGCCCAGATAGCCCTCCTTTTTGATAATAGTACGAAACAGGCTGACCATTGTCGGTCGTCTAGTAGTAGTCGTACCGGTAGTTGTAGTACTAGTAGTATCCGATTGGGCCTGCAATCGGGTCCTGACCAATGCCAACGGATAGCTGGTCACTTGGCCGCACGTCGAGCTAATGGTGCCGCAGGTCAACAGTACTAGTATTCCCGGATCTTCTTCCAGTGAATGGTGGCGTAGATATAGTTTTTTAAGTGTCTAAATAAATAAGTAAAGAGAGAGAGAGAGAGAGATAATTAATATATTTGTTTTGTTATATATATATATAATAGTAAATAAATAAATTTAATTAATAAATAAACTAACGGTAATTTTAAATGTGTAAATAATATGTTTGTAATAAATTTCGATATATATATATATATATAAAGATAATTAATTATATGAAACATTTAGTTTTTTAGTTACCGGTAATTATTATTGTATTTAAACATTAAAGTATTTTTAGTTGATTTAATTTTTATTAGTAATAAAATAAATCACTAATAAATTATTTATATTACAAAATTACCTGTCAAATCATATCAATAATTGTTAGTATTTATGATATACAATGGCACACATAAAAATAGCAATAAAACAAAAAAAATAATATACCGGTTATTACTACCTGGCCATACCTTATATATAGCATGTATAGCAAGCCCTGGTAGCTTAAAAAAATAAATAATAAACTGCACAATCATTACCCTAATTGATCTAGACTATTTATAATTATCACATATTTATTCACACAAAAAAAATCTGCTACCCCCCCCTTGCTTGCATAATAATAATTATTGCATTTAATATTAATAGTGATTCAACAAAAATAATAATAATAATAATAAATAATATAATTACTTCATAGACGGCTAAATCGATGCCGGCATACGGTATAATGCCTAACAGATTCGGTAGAAATCCCCGATAAAAACATCGCACGCCTTCGGTAGCGTATATTTTACGGGCGGCGTCCAATATACTGCCGTATTGGCCAGTCTTGCGTAAGGTTAGCCGCGTCTTAAGCACTTCCATCGGATATATCACAGACTGAGAAATTCCTCCGGCAATCGAGCCTTTAGTTTAAACATATATGTGTTTGAGTTATAAAAACAAACAATTAGTTAATATTATTATTACTAATAATTATAGTTAAATACCGGCTAAAAATCGTTCATAAATATAGAGTTCTCGGGTAGAGTTGCCTCTAATGATGCGTTTGGCCTTAAAAAACAACATAAAAAAAATTAGGTTATAAAGTCAACTGTCGGTAAACAAAAAATATTGAACGGATACGGATGGATGTGCTATTGACTACACACAGACACACACACCTCATATCCGATACCCCGAGAGAGAGAGATAGATAGAGAGAGATCCCACCCGAACCTGGCGTACCTGATCATAGGCCATAAACTTAATGGCACTTTCGGGTGCAATCTTGATAACATTGATACCGTTGCCCCTCCACAGCGATTGATAGCCGCCCTCCTGAACCATATGCCTTAGACAGAGACCAAGTCCGTGAAATTCGGCTCCTCTAACCTGAAAGACAATAAACAAAACACCAAATTAGTGGTCAGTTTTGTTGTTGTTGTTGTTGTTGTTCAGAAGTTGATGGTCAACATAGACATAGAGATGAACTGTCTGTTTGTCTATCTATCTATCGGTCGGTCGGTTCGGTCGGTCATCGATAACCGGGCGCTTACCTGTAGAAACACTTTCAATCTGTCCAACGGTGCCGTACAAGTCCTCGACACGGCTCCGGCCACACCGCCGGCCAACAGGTGCCGCCACCACATACCGCTATCATCGCTGACCGTTTGCAGATCTTCTTCAATATATTCGGCCACCAGTTCGTCGTCTTCGCTAATATTTAGCATCTTTTGGTGCTTTTGTTTTGTCGATAATTATAACGATATGATTGAAGACATGTGTTGTTGTTGTCGTTGTCGTTGTTTTTTTGTGGCCAAACATATATCAAACAAACAGATAATTAGTTAAATAATTATTTAATTAATTAATTAATTAATTATAACCATTGATGGGATACCTACATGATCTGATCCATCATCAACTTCAGGCTTATTGATAATAGACATGACTTTTAATAATAATTTTTTAAATAATAATAATAATAATAATAATATAGTTTTATATATCAATCAATCATATGATAGGATATATACTAATCACATATCATATGAATTGTATTTTTTTATTATTTATTATTAAACTATTTATACATATTATATAATCACATATCATATGTTTCATAAAATTATTATTTAATTGTATTATTTAATTATTTATTTATTAAAAAAAACTAAAAACAATAATATCTATTATTATTATTATTTATTTATTTATTAATTATTTTAAATAATAAGCGATTGTATGTATTATTTAGTATGTGATATGTGATCGACCATTGCTTATACCAATACTGTATATCATATATAATATCATATCATATATAATATCATATACTGTATAATACACTGTATGTATTGATAGTCAACATTTGAAATATAATTTTTTTTCATATGACATTCAAATAACTGATTGATTGATAAAAAAAACTTTTTTTTTATGTTATTAATTATTTTTTTTACTATATATTAATTGATAGTAAAAAAAATTATTATTGCCGTATATATGTGTAATAAATTTCATAATCAAATCAACAAAAAACAAAAAAAAAATAAAATAAATAGTTTCACACTATGTTTGTGTGTACTATATTTGTGTACAGTATTATTATTATTGACATTATTTGTTACGTTATTTGTGTGTGTGTGTGTGTGTGTATGTAAAATGTAAGTGTAAATTTTTTTTTATAGAAAATTAGAGATCGAAACGGGTCAAATATTTGGTTTTTTTTTTAAAAATAATTATTTTTTAAGTATCTAAAGTTAAAATAGTAATTATTTAAATATTTTTTAAAATAATAATAATAATAAACCGAATACCCGTAAATAAAAATAATTTATTTTATTTTATTTTTTTAAATTTAAGTACAAAAATAACCTGATACCAATAATGTGTATTAATTTAATTTAATTAATTTATTTTTTTTTGAAAAAGTATTACTTTTATAAATATTGAATTTTTGAAAACTAAAAAAAATAAAATATTTAAAAAAAAAACTTTTTCAAACTCCTGGTAATCTAAATATACTGTATATATATATATATTTGGTTTGGTTTTTGTATCTTTACTCTACTCTACTCTACATCTGTGTATACGTAATACGTATTACGTGAAAATCATATGAGCTTTTAATTTATATATATATATAAAAAATTATAATTAAAGAATCGATTATTTCAGGAAGCGTTCAATAATTTTATTAAATTTTTTTTAAAAAAATAGATTAAAAAAATTTTAGTAATAAAACAAACGAATTTATTATTTAAAAAAATAAATTACAATATTTTATAACACTTTTTTTTAAAAAATAGCATATTTTTAACTAAATATTAATATTTAGTATTTAAAAAAATTAATAATATTTAATAATTTTTAAAAAAAAAATTATTGGATTTTAAAAAAAATATATATATAATAAAAATATATTTATAATTTAATTAAATTTGATAAAATTTTTCTAATTAATATTATATCACTAAAAAAATAAAAATAAAATTACATAATTTTATTTAAACAAAAAAATAAAATAAATAAATCTGATAAAATTTTAGTTTTTTATAAAGTATGTAAATATAATTACAGTAATTTTTTTCGTCACTAGTTATAAATATTATTATACAGTATATAATAGTAATATAGTAGTAGTAGTAGTAGTAGTAGTAGTAGTAGTGATGTCACAACATATTATTTGGCGGCCATATTGGTGTAAAAAAAATAATAATAATAATAATTTTTTGGTGTTTATATACAGTATTATTATTATTATTATTTAGTATTAGTATTACATTACATACTATACACTACACACACACACACACAGTGTATATATAAATATCATTGATATTAATGTTGTTTACAATTAAACCGTTTATATTATTATTAGTATTAATATTATTACCCAAACATTAAAACACATATAAATAGTTGTATTAATAATAATAATAATAATAAATAAATTCATTGAACTCTCTCTCAGTCTCTCTCTCTCTCTATGTGTCCGACGGCTTGAATGCCAATAACCAGTTGTCCGCCACCGCCGCCGCCGCAGTTGTATCGCAGTTGTCGGCCGCTATTGTCGGCCACAGTCACACCCCCGAGTTGACCACCACCACTACCGTGTCGCCCGACTGTGTCCTCTGTGTGTCGTTACCACCGAAAAAACAAAACAAAACATTTACCGAAGCAGCCGATCGATCGGTCGGTTGGTTGACTTGAATTGTGAAAAAGAAAAACTGATTATGAGTTTTATGATAACCCGTAAAAAGAGTTACAAATTTTCGGTGGTCTTTACGCTCGTAGAGCTATCGTCGGTACCGCTGGTCAACGGCGTACTGTTTGCCAAATGTCGTCTGATTGGCGGTTCGGGTGGCGGCGGAGCCAACTTTGCCGAAACGTCCAAACGGTAAGCCATTCAACTAATTGGTGGCCACGAGATATATCATAATCTAATGTCTATTAACTTCTTCTTCTTCATCAACCATAGCGAGGAAGTGAGAGACCATTGCGTCAAATGGCAGACAAAGTATTCATTTTCCTGTAAGATGTCGGCCAACGCCAACACTGGTATCCTAGAGTCCCGAATACTACGGGCATCCGTACGTAAAGAGTCCAAAGGCGGCCGATCCTATCATAAGATCGGTTTTGTCGATATTGATTTGGCCGAATACGCCGGCGCCGGTCTACTGTCCCGACGCTATCTGCTCGAAGGCTACGATACGAAACATCGACTGGACAACAGCACACTGAATGTGTCCATTGAGATGAGCCTACTATCGGGCGATCCGTGCTTTAAGACGTTAGTGTTATCTATTGTGTGTGTCTCTTAAACCGTATATTTACCGATGATTTTTGTTGTTGTTGTTTAGGCCAACACAAGCAGCCCATCGGACGTCTGCACCTCTGTCGTCGTCGTCACCAAAAGCGCACAAACACTACGATGCGGTCGGCGGCGGCGGCAACGGTAACTCAGTATTGGCCGCACAATTGACTCCAACTTCAGCCACACCACCGCCGTCTACAAAGACAACGACGACTACTACGACGACGACCCCACAGTCGGCTACGGGTCAGACACAACAGTCAGGCATAGCTAACGCTGTCGCCAACGATTACGAGTCGGGCCACTCACGCAATTCGAGTCAGGCCTCGCGCGTATCCGGTTATAATAGCCTACCGTCGCATAGTAGACAGGGATCGGCCGATTCGGGTAGTACTAGGTATCAGTCGGTTTTGTGTTTTATTTTTTAATAAGTTTTATTGTATTTAAAATTAAAAAAAAATGTTTGTTTTTATTAGGGCATCACTCGAAGCGATCAAATTCAATAGCACTGAACGAAAACGGTTGACACAAAACGCCAAGAAAATAATCGAAGAACAAAGTCGAATGGACAGCACACGGATGAGCGCCGACCGATTGATCGATAAATTGTTGGCCGAATCCAATCTGGACGGCGATGAAGAATACAATGAATCGGTTGGACTGGAATTGATTGTCGGCAAAGACGGTACGACAACGTTGGGCACACGGCATGGAAATAGCAATAGTAGACAACAACAACAGCAACAGTCACGTACCGGTGCTCATAATAATACCAGTGCTCAACAACAACAACAATATAATAATAAAGTGGCCTTCATTCCTAGTACAGCTGTATTAACAACCACTACAACAACAATACAACCATCGCCACCACCGATGGTTCATAGGAACGGTAGAAATTGAATGGTTTTGATTTGATTGTTGGTATTGTTTATGGTTTAGGTTTGTTGTCATCAGTATTGGCTAAATATATATATATATAGTGTATAATCATTTGGTTTGACTCTATTCCAGGTATTAGACTATTCAAGTAATCAATTGCTTAGTTTAATAATTAAATATCTAGTAAACCCATACATTCAATTTTTAATTTTTAAAAAAAAATGATCATGGTCATAATTGTAGGATAATATTGTTTAAAAAAAAACATTATTGTGATTGGTGATTTTTTAAAAAATAAAAAATAAATTGAATGTATAGTTTAATAATACCAGATATTTAATATTATAATAAACTAATTGATTGTTGTATACCTGTCTCTAACCCCTCTAATACTATCCCAAATTCAATACACTATATATCTACCTATATTTGCAATACTGGACATACATACCGATACCATTAGCACATCCATGTGTGTGTATGTGTGTGTGTGTGCGGGCATCTCATTTGACATATATTTTTTAGATTTATTTTTTTGTTTGTTTAACATTATTATTATTATTATATAATTATTGAATAGATTTTTTTTTGTTGAGAGAAAGAGAGACCACAAAGTAAGTCATTATAAATAATTAAATAATAATTATTATTATAAATAAAACACAATATTATTATTATTATTAATTATATAAGATTATACAAATATTGTTTAAATTTTTAAATACTTTTAACTAAATATTGTTTTTTTTGAGACAAATTATATTATATTATATAAATATATTTAAATAATAAATAAATAAATTAATTAATTAATTAATAATTGATAAAATAAAATACTATTATATAATAAATGGATAAACAAATTTAAATTATTTATAAATAAATTTTAAATTTATTGAATTGGAAAATTTAATTTAAAATAAATGATTAGTTAATTTAATAAAAAAATAAATTACATTATAATTGGATAAAAAATATGTTTTATTTGTTTTCAATAACAATACCATTACTATCTGTATATAAATTATAGATTAAATTATATTTATTAAAATTATTTATTAGGGTATTATAAATATTTTATTATTATAATTATTATTATCATTGATATTAAATAAAAATAATTTTAAAAATTAATTATCATTAACAACAACAAAATTATCTAGTTTTAAATATTTGTCTAAAAAAAATTGTTTATAAATTATATATATATTTATTGTTTATTGTATTTAAGTTTAATATACCGTTATATTAGACATTTATATTAGAGATTAAAATATATTTTGTTTTTATTTGTTTATTAGTTAGCATAGGATTTGATATCATATCATATGATATGATAATAAAAGTTTAAATAATTACGATATTATATCTAAAAATATAATTTTTTTAAAAAATATTTTGGTGCATGATACAATTGGTATCGATTGTAACAATGATAATTATTGTAGTTTAGTTTAGTTTATTTCAATTAAAAAAAATATTAATTAAAAAATTAATGATATAGTACTGTATTTATTATAACGTATTAATAATATGATTAATAAATTAGGTTATGTTAGGTTTGAATAGTTTAGGTTAGGTTTGAATAATTTAGGTTAGGTTTGAATAGTTTAGGTTAGGTTTGAATAATTTAGGTTAGGTTTGAATAGTTTAGGTTAGGTTTGAATAGTTTAGGTTTGAATAGTTTAGGTTAGGTTTGAATAATTTAGGTTAGGTTTGAATAATTTAGGTTAGGTTTGAATAATTTAGGTTAGGTTTGAATAATTTAGGTTAGGTTTGAATAGTTTAGGTTAGGTTTGAATAATTTAGGTTAGGTTTGAATAATTTAGGTTAGGTTTGAATAGTTTAGGTTAGGTTTGAATAGTTTAGGTTTGAATAGTTTAGGTTAGGTTTGAATAATTTAGGTTAGGTTTGAATAATTTAGGTTAGGTTTGAATAGTTTAGGTTAGGTTTGAATAATTTAGGTTAGGTTTGAATAATTTAGGTTAGGTTTGAATAGTTTAGGTTAGGTTTGAATAATTTAGGTTAGGTTTGAATAATTTAGGTTAGGTTTGAATAGTTTAGGTTAGGTTTGAATAATTTAGGTTTGAATAGTTTAGGTTAGGTTTGAATAATTTAGGTTAGGTTTGAATAATTTAGGTTAGGTTTGAATAGTTTAGGTTAGGTTTGAATAATTTAGGTTAGGTTTGAATAATTTAGGTTAGGTTTGAATAGTTTAGGTTAGGTTTGAATAGTTTAGGTTTGAATAGTTTAGGTTAGGTTTGAATAATTTAGGTTAGGTTTGAATAATTTAGGTTAGGTTTGAATAGTTTAGGTTAGGTTTGAATAATTTAGGTTAGGTTTGAATAATTTAGGTTAGGTTTGAATAGTTTAGGTTAGGTTTGAATAATTTAGGTTAGGTTTGAATAATTTAGGTTAGGTTTGAATAGTTTAGGTTAGGTTTGAATAATTTAGGTTAGGTTTGAATAATTTAGGTTAGGTTTGAATAGTTTAGGTTAGGTTTGAATAATTTAGGTTAGGTTTGAATAATTTAGGTTAGGTAATAAAATTGTTTGGAATAATTTGTAATTAACTCTAAATAATTAATTTAAAAATTTTTAAAAATAATTATTTTTAAAATTGATGCTAAATATAATTTTTTATAAAGTTTTAAATTCCAATTAAATTCCCACTAAATTCCCACTAAATTCCCACTAAATTCCCATAAATTCCCATTAAATTTCACTAAATTCCCATTAAATTCCCATTAAATTCCCACTAAAAAAAATGTTTGTTTTATTAGGGCATCACTCGAAGCGATCAAATTCAATAGCACTGAACGAAAACGGTTGACACAAAACGCCAAGAAAATAATCGAAGAACAAAGTCGAATGGACAGCACACGGATGAGCGCCGACCGATTGATCGATAAATTGTTGGCCGAATCCAATCTGGACGGCGATGAAGAATACAATGAATCGGTTGGACTGGAATTGATTGTCGGCAAAGACGGTACGACAACGTTGGGCACACGGCATGGAAATAGCAATAGTAGACAACAGCCACATACCGGTGCTCACTATTATAATAATCATATTAATAATACCAGTGCTCAACAACAACAACAACAACAACATAATAATAAAGTGGCCTTCATTCCTAGTACAGCTGTATTAACAACTACAACAACAACACAACCATCGCCACCACCGATGGTTCATAGGAACGGTAGAAATTAGGATGGTTTGATCTATTAAACAACAAAATGGTTATGTTATGGTTTAGGTTTGTCGGTCGTTGTTGTTGTTGTTGGGGACTAGTATTGTAAAAGTTTGTATACAGATATAGCGTATGGGATCTAGTATTCAGGTTAGAGAGAGAGAGAGAGAGAGAGAGGTAATCGATTGATTAGTTTTAATGTATTTAAATATCAATAGTAAACTATAGATTCAATTATTAACATAATTGTAGGATAATTATCAACTCAACATTAATTTTATAATTGATTAATTATAAAATTAACTATAGATAAGTTAAATAATTTATCTAGTTAATTTTTTTACAATCAATCAATTAACAATTAATCATGTTGATTGTTTAATATTATCTAGGTTAATTATGACCATGGTCATTTTATGTTGATAATTGAATCTATAGTTTACTATCGATATTTAGATATAAACTAATGAGTGTAATACCTATCTCTAACCTGAATACTACCCCCCCCCCTTACATGCCATACACCATATCTACCTATACTTGCAATACTGGACATACACATAGACACACCGATACCATAGCACATCCATGTGTGCGGGCATCTCATTTGACATATATTTTTTAGATTTATTTTTTGTTTAACATTATTATTATTATTATATAATTATTGAATAGATTTTTTTTGTTGAGAGACCACAAAGTAAGTCATTATAAATAATTAAATATTAATTATTATTATAAGAAAACACAATATTATTATTATTATTATTAATTATATAAGATTATACAAATATTGTTTAAATTTTTAAATACTTTTAACTAAAATATTGTTTTTTTTGAGACAAATTATATTATATTATATAAATATATTTAAATAATAAATAAATAAATAAATTAATTAATAATTGATAAAATAAAATACTATTATATAATAAATGGATAAACAAATTTAAATTATTTATAAAAATAAATTTTAAATTTATTGAATTGGAAAATTTAATTTAAAATAAATGATTAATAAATTTAATAAAAAAATAAATTACATTATAATTGGAAAAAATGTTTAATTGTTTTTAATAACAATACCAGTACTACCTGTATATAAATTATAGATTAAATTATATTATTAAAATTATAAATATTTATTAGTGTATTATAAAAATTTTATATTATTATTATTTTCATTGATATTAAATAAAAATAATTTTAAAAAATTAATTATCATTAACAACACAACAACAAAAATAAATATTTGTCTAAAAAAATTTGTTTATAAATTATATATATATTGTTTATTGTATTTAAGTTTAATATATCGTTATATTAGATATTTAAACGATTATATAAGCGGTTAAAAAAAGTGTTTAAAAAAATATTTTTTTGTTTTTATTTGTTTATTAGTTAGCATAGGATTTGATATCATATCATATGATATGATAATAAAAGTTTAAATAATTACGATATTATTATATCTATAAATATAATTTTATTTTTAAAATATAACATAACTATATAAACTTTAGTAAACATTATATTATATATACACAATTGTATACAATTAATAAGTAATATTAAACTTATTATGTATGTGCTAGTTTAGTTTAGTAAAGTTTATTATTTGATGCATGGTACAATTGGTATTAATTGTTACCATGCTAATTTTATTGTAGTTTATTTCTAATTTTTTTTTAAAAACGTGTTGCTATCAAAAATAACATTATAATTTTTTTAAAAAAACAATTGATTTAAATATTAAATTAGTAAATTATTAGAAATTATAATTAGATAAAATAATTACCGTGATCATTTTTATTTATCATTTATAATAATAACTTTTAATAATTATATTTTTATATAATTAAGTATATACTTATACTTATAATATATTTATTTAATTATTAACAAAATATTAGGTAAGTCTATATTTAAATTAATTTTTTTTTTAAAAAGTAATTTTTTGTGTGTGTCTATTGATTGACTTAAAAATGTTTTTTTTGGAGATTAAAATTATTAAAAAAAAATAAGTAGACATTTGTTTTTTATCAACAACAAAAATTTTATTTATTTAATAATTTGATAAAATTTCTAAAAATAATTAATTAATTAAAAATGATTATTAAAACAATACATTTTTAAAAAAAAAATAATTGTGAAAAATAATTACAATTAAATGTACCAAAAAAAAAAACATGTCTATTAATAGTAATAGTAATAATAGTTAATAATTAATAACATAGTAAATAGTTTAAATAAATTTAATAATAATACAATTTTTCTGTTGTAAATTAATATAACAATAAATTTTAATAATAATTATAATTCAATATTTTATAATTCAATATATATATATATATATATATATAGTCTTAAATATATCAATAATTATTTAGTATTATATTTGAATATATAATATAAATATTATTATTATTATAAATTTAATGGGTTTGAAATCTAGTGTTTTTTTAAAATCAATTGTTTTTTTAAATCAATAAATATTGATAAATATCTTATTAAAAATTTCTAAACATAAATATATTTGAATTTGAATTTTTTGTTAGTTTGAAAAATGTTGTTAGTTTTTATTTAACACAATTTGATTAAAATATTTTTTATTTATTTATTTGTTTGAAAAATGTTTGAATTATTGTGTGGGTATGTAAAAGGTGTGGTATTTTTTAAATATAAAAAAATAAAATAAAATAAATATTTGTGTTAGAATTTAATTTATAAAATCAATAAAATATTTTATTATTATTAAAAAAATTAATTAATTATTGTTTTTGTGTTATAATGTTGTTGTTTTAGTTATATTATTATTATTATTATCAATAATATATTATCAAACTAGCAATATTATTAAATAGCTTAGCAAAACAAACTAATCTAGTTAAATTATATATATATATATTGGTCAATATTTTTTTTTTTAAATAATATAATAATGTTACCGGTAATGTTAATCTTATCAATAATTATTTTTTTAATTAAAAATAACTATTATAACTATTTATATATATATATATATTATAAATATTACTTTTGTTTGTTTAATAATAATTTACATAATATTTTATTTTTTATCATATGATAAATATAAATCATATTTCAAATAGTTTTGAATTTTTTTTTGTATATTATATGTTTGTTTGTTTGTTTAATTTATTTTGTTAGTCAATCAATCAATCAATCAATTAAATAAATTTTAAAAAAATAAACTAAAAAATTAGTTACATTAAAAAATCAATGTTACTATTCAATTAAAAATGTTTCCCATTTTTAAAATTAATTATATATATATAGTATAAATTTTTATCATTTTTATAGTGAATTTTATATTCATACACAAAAAATTTTGTTTATTATTTTTTAGTAAATTTTGTAAACTTTCTGTTTAAAAATGTTAGAAATATTTAAATCTATTATCAAAAAAAAATTATTGGATTTTTAACTAACATTTTTTTCTAATAAACTAAATTAATAAATATCTATATAAAAAAAATTATGTATTGTTTATGTTAGACACTGTATAATATATATATTGAATATATTTTATAACTTGTTATAATGTATTTTTTTGGGTAACAATTTATAAATCAATTATAAAGTTAACAATAGTTTTTAACAAACAAACAAAAATTAAATACAATTTAATTTCTACAATAATTTAACCAAAAAAAAAAATAAAATAAATTAATGATCGCTTTTTTAACAAAATAAATATTTCAATTAATTAAAAAAAAATTTAGTAATTTTTTTCTGGGAGTAAGAAAAATATTTTGCACAAAAATATTTGCTATCAATTTGTTTGTTTAATAAAAAATAATTTTTGTTTTTTAAAAAATAAAACTAAAAATATTTGAAACTGAAAGTTGTGTGCGTTTTTGAAGCAGCGCTACAATCAGTCGTGAAATTTATATTATATTTATATTTTTTTAAAAAATAATAATAAAATTATTATTTATATCTAAATATATTTTTAAAATTTTCTAATTATTTTAAAAACACATAATTAGTAGTACTTATTATTATTGACAATACATTCAGGTTTTTATTTAATGACAATATTTTATATATAGATTTATTAATAAAAATTTAGTAAATCATAAATTAATTACTAATTTTTTTTACTAAACAACAAAAATTGTCAAATAATAGGATTAACTTTAAAAAAAACAATATTATCTCAAATATATTTATATATATAAACTAATTGTATATAAAATTACTTTTTATTTTATTATTATTTTCAAACTATATTTTATATATTCTGTATCTAAATATATATCCAAAATATAACTAAATAATTATTCTGTTAGTAGTTATAGTTATTATTTTCATAAAAATATATTTTTTAATAGTATTTTAATTTCCTGAAAAATAAATCTATTTATTTATTTATTTATTTTGTATGGATGAAAACAAATAATAATTATTTGATAAAACATACATTAATAATATAGATATATATATATATATATTTATATATAATAATAATAATAATGAAAATAATATACAAACTATTGTTGTTGTTTTTTAAAAAGACAAATAAAGATAATGTTATTTATAAAACAAATAAAATTATTATTATTTTTTGTTTTGTTTTAATAAAAATATAATAATAATAATAATAATGAATCAATTAAATCATACACCAATAAGGACAATGAATTTAACAAATTATATAATTTTTTTAATTAAAAAAAATTATTGTTTGGTTTAAACTATTTAAACGACAAAAAAATTTTTTTTAAATGTATTTTACATCTCAAATATAAATATAATTTATTTTTACAAACTCATAGACATTTTAAAGATCACAATTGAGTAGTTTTTTTTGTTTTGTTTTTTTTTCAAAAAATATAGCTAAAGTAACAGTTTAATGAAAAAAAATGAAATTTAAAAAAAATTTTAAAACATAATAATAAACTAACAGTAAATATATATATTTAAAAATAAAATAAAAATAATTATCACTGAAATTGCAGTCAAGTTTCTGAGGCTATAATTGTTAAGTCTATATATATTTTACAACAAAAAAAAAGTTTTTACTGACAAACAAACTAATAATAATAATAATAATAATCATAAATATAAACCATTTGTTTGAAAAACCCTGAAAAAAATCCAAATCAAAACAAATAAACCCATAAATATTGAGAGGAGGGGAGGGGGCGGAAAATGTAACAAAAATAAAGATAAAGTTAAAATCTGAAAATACAATAATATATATATATATTTAAAGTGTATAATAATAATAATATATATATCAAAAATATCTATATATATATATATATATAAAATATATTTATATTTTTCTCTATTATAATTTGTATATATAATTATATATCTCTTTTATTTTAAGGCACATATGGTGTTAGTAAAAGTCAATCAAAAAATTTATATATATTTTTTAAAATTTTATATTTGAAATGCTTTTCCGAAATCATTCCAAATATATATTTAATTTTCATTATATTTTAAATTTTAAATATAATATATATATAAATATCGAAAAAATGTTGTTATTATTATTAATTAATAATTTAATGAAAATTGAAATATATATCCCATTTAAGTGAAAGCTATTCAGGTTTTTATAGCACACGGGTTTGAGTTTATAAAAATAAAAAATTAAAATAAATAAATATTTGAGATATAAAATACAATTAACTAAATATATATTATATATATATATATATAACTATAAACTACTGTTAAAATAATTGATGATATCTATTGACAACAAATAATTTTGTTTTTTTAAAAAAAAATAACATATAATTTGTCAAAAACATTGTCCGTTTTGTTGTTATCATTGTATGTGTGAATAAATTTACAAATAAAACGAAACAAACAAAAAATAAAACAAATTTACATTTAAAAACACTTGTGTTTAAATAATTATTATAATAATAATAATAATAGCAAATAATATAATGACAATAATAATAATAATAATAAAATAATTGATTAGATTTAGTTTATATAATAATTCATCAAACTTTTTGTATGTTTTACTAAAAAAATGTTATATTTGTGGTGTGTTTTTGCTTTTTTGAGATATTCAGATCATATGTTTTTTTGAAACAACAAAAATTAAATTAATTTCAAATTTATAAAAAAAAAAATTATCGTTATGTTTGTCATAATATACTGTATATATATATAACTAATTAATAATAATAGTAATAATAAAAAGTAATTTTATATAATCATATAATTTCCGTCAATTCTATAATTATAATAATAATAATGTTATAAATTCACAATTTATGTATATTTTTGTATACTATATATAACTAAAAAAAGCAATTTTAACAATTTTTTTTCAATGATAATAATAATAATAAGTCAATTAAGGCAATTGGATAATTATTATAAAATCAAAATAATAATTATAATAATGATTAAAAAATATAACATAGAAATAAAAATTTTTGTAATAATTTTTATCAACACTTATATTATATAATATATATATATAACTAATTTTTAGTAGTATTTTAGCAGAATTTTTGTGTTTTAAGTCAAAAAAACATGTTTTTTTATAATAATAATTTGTTGTTGTTTTATAATTTTTACTATACATTCAATAATAATAATAATAATATAACATAAAATCTTTATAATAATAATAATAAAATATTTATAATATGTAGAGTAATTAATTGATAAAAATTTCATATAGATTTTGTACTACAAACTAATAATAATAATAATAATAATAAAAATTGTTAATATTTATTATTACTATTACTATCATTATTAATGTTTTTATATATAATTAAGATTTTTATTATCAATTATTGTTTTCAACAACTGTAGCGCTTGTTTTGAAAATTTTTTGAAAATATATTTCATGTAATTTTTGTTGTTGTTTGAATAATTTTGTTTTATTTCACAAAAATAATTAATATATATATATATATATAAATATATTATTTGAATTTGTTTTTTAAAGAGAATATTCTTCAATAATTTAATTTTTAATTTTGTCTTCAATTGTCACAAAAATATTTATCTCAATTTGTTTTTTCACCAAAATATTCATCTAATTTTCAAAAAAATAATAATTATAATGTGTGTGAAAAATAACATTTAAATTTGTTTTGTTTTTTTACAATTTAACACAAAAATAATGATAAAAATTTTAAAATTTCACAAATAATTTTTTTTTTCGTAAAAATGTAATGAATGTATTGTTTGTTTGTTTGTATGTTTTATATATATATATATATAAACTATGATTTTTTTATTATTTAATAGACTCTATATTTTCCATCAATTATTTTCATTAGACATACATTATATATAATATAAATATATCTATAAGAATATTCTGTGTTATCGTTTTTTTTATAATTTCATTTTAATAAACACTAATAATAATAATAATAATTTTAATAATAATAATAATAATAATGCAATTTAATCATTAATGATCAAAAACAACAATTTTTTCAAATAACTATTTTGTTTGTTTTTTTAGTAAACAAAAAGAGAAAAAAAATTAAAAAATAAAAACGAGTAAAACTAAAAATAAAACAATGAACTATATTACATAACATAATAATAATAATAATTATAATGAGTAGTCAATCAATCAATTAATAATAATAATAATATAATTAAAATATTTCTATAAATTTAATACAATTTATTTATAATATAATAATAATAATATGTATATATATATAACGTCTCAAATTTGTGTTAACGGTTTAAATTTGCATTAAATCTCTATATCTCTCTCTCTCTTTCTCTCTCAATGTTCACAAAACTAATAATAATAATAATAATAATAAACATTTTGTCTCTTAAAAAAATTTACGGGAAAATTACATTCAAATTATGTATACAAATATATAATATATATATTTATATATATATATTATATATATAAACAATTAAACCGCAAAAAATCATTGTTATCTAACAAAACAACAAAAAATAATATATATATATATATATAATAAACGATAAAACTAATTAGTGTAAATACAGTTATATAATAATAATAATAATAATAATAAACTCTAATATTTATGTATATATAATGAGAGACCATTGAGAGATAAATAGATAAACAGCGCGCACAGGTATGTCGTGTTTTGTATGTATGTGTTTGTGGGGTTGGTTTTTTTAATATATATATATATATATATTTATATATATTGAGTAAATGGATAGACGACACATCATTGTCCCTAACAAATTAGTAATAATAATAATAATAATAATAAACAAATAGTAATAATAATAATAAAAAAAGTAATATCTTTTTTTTATATAATTATATAATAATATCATATCGGAAGTCCTGAGACATACACACACATACACACAACAAACACACAATAATTTTAATGTCATTTTTTGTTTTATTTAATGTGATGTCAATGTTGTTGTTGTTTGTGTTGTCTATTGAAATATATATGTTTGAAATTTCTATATATTGTGTTTAAACTTGTTGTTGATGTTGTTGTTGTTGTAGTTGTCAATCATTTTTTCTTCGCGTGCAACATCTCCATCAACAATGTTTGTGTCGGTGCACTGCCGCCCATATGCTTATAGTAGAGATACTCTTCGCCCCGTAAGGTCAGCGCCCGTATGTCGGGCACCAGTGCCATGAGTTGGCCAAACTTGTCCTTTAAAAATAGATACAAATAAAAATAGATTATTAGTTTTTAATGTGTTGGTGATGGTTGGGGGGAGGGTGTGTATTAAAAAATTACGGCAATTTGTGGATAACAGTTGATGGTGTACTCGAGTACGGCCTGTTGTGCTTGCTCGTGTGCCTCCTGGACCAGCTTGAAGTTGCCCAGTCCGCGGACATCTACATAAGCCCCCCATTAAAAAAACAGTCATTAAAAATATGTCAAACAATTTAACGATTTAACAAAAAAAAAAACAAATACAAACCGGGATTTAAAAGTAGCAAAAATTTGAGACAAATATAATCAATTGAGTCAAACTTCAATTCGGTCAGCCGTGCGGTTACCGCGTGCAACTGGTCGACCACTGACGGTACGCCCAACAGTGCCAGCGATAGTAAGTCAAACTTTTGGCCATTGGGTAGTGTAGTCTCGTCGGGCAGTCCGACATGCAATCGCTGGTGTATGTGGTCGAGTACTAGCATATCGCTCCAGGCGTGTTGTAACAGTTTCATCTGGTCGTCCACCTATACGTATACACACACACACACACGTGCAAACACGTGTTAAATAAATAAATAAAAACAATTTGATTAGTTTGCAATTTATTATTATTATATGTATTATTATTTCTATTGAATATTTACAGAATATTCTATATATACTCTCTCTCTCTCTCTCTCATTAAAATTTATTTAAAATTATTGTTCAATTTGTATAAACATTATTGATATTATATCAACCACTTTGTATATATGTTTGATATATGTATGATATACCATAATATATATGTTTACTATTAAACGCGTGCAAAATTCTAGATATAAAACACGTGTTGTAATTTAAAAAATGTCAATTAATTGAAATTATTACCCTTTTTTTTAAAAAAAAAATCTTATATAATAATTATAAAACTGTTATTACAGTATAATTATTACATTAAATAATTATTTGTTTAATGATTTATTTATTTAATTTTTTGTTAAAAAATTTTAATTAACAAGTTTTTTTGTGTAGATATAAATCTGACATTTTAAGTCAAAATATTTAATATCAATGTCAAAATTTATTTAAAAAAAAACATTTATATTATTTGTTTAAATATAACTAGCTTAATTGTGCAATTTAAAAAAAATTATTATCCATATGCTTTTATATATATATATATATATATATGTATGTCATATACTATTAAACAAAAAAAAATGCCATTAAATTGCAATTATTTTGTAAACACACAATTACTATTATACTAATATAATAATAATAATACAATATTATTGTTTGGGTGTAATAAGTAGATTAATTTATTTCCATTTTATTACAATTATAATTATTAAATAGATTATAAGCGCCAATATTTAATAGACTATTGTACCAAAAAAATAAATAAATAAATAATACCCATAAATATACACAATGGGGTTGTTTTGTATAAATTAAGCGATTTTTTTTAATTGCATATATTTTTCAATACACTTGAAAAAAAAATTTATATCTGATTTGGATACCAAAAAAAATAAATATATTTATTTAACACAAAATAAATTAATAATAATAATAATGAAAAATGTTTGTGTAATCAATATGTAATTAGTATTAATGTGTGTATAGATAAAAAAAATTTTTTAATGCTATTTTGTCAATCTATTTAAAAAATAATAAATAACTAATAAATTAAAAAAAACTAAAAAATCAGAAAATTAGAGATCAATTAAATTGATAATATATTTGCTTGAATTATATATAACTTAATTAACATTTTTTAAAAAATATTTCTAATACATTAAAATGGATTTACGCAGAAATATATATATATATATAAAATAACTAATAAATAAATTACAAACCATTTATTACTAAATACAGTAATAATATATAATATATAATTTTCTATGTAATATACGTTATGTGTGTATATATATATACTGTATATACGTATATAATAAATCTGGTTTTAACCAAAGCACACACACACATATCTGATATATACGCTATACATACGTATATACTGTATATATATATATATATATATATTGGTTGACCCTATTTTTCCTATAGTCAGCTAACTGGGTCATTAAATGTATATATATTTGACACACTGACATAGCTAACTGAGTGCTAAGCGCGCGCAATATATTTTTGCAGTATATATATATGCTATGGGCTGATGTATGCTAAAAACCACCACATATATCAAAATTAGGTCATCCCTTATTGCAATATACTTTATAATGTATTATTATTATTATTATTATTATTATTATATACACCAACCATACCCATAACTTTCGCTTTCAATTTCATTATTATTCACTTTTTTTTGAAGTACATAAATATATTTATCGGTTTAATAAAATTAAAAAACACGTTTAGGCTCTCTCTCTCTTTCTAAACAAAACACACCTCTAATATATATATATATTTATATAAATAAATAAATAAAGATAATTTTATTGACTAAATTTAAAAACAATTATAAAAAATATTTAAATTAAAAAAAATTAAATATTTAGAAAATTAGTTATAATTACTACCAAAAAAAATTTTTTTTAATCAATAAATAAATCTATTTAATTAACAAAATTATATAATAATTTTTGTCTAAAAAATTTAAATCAATGTCATATGCAAAATTTATTGACTAAATTATTATTATTATTATCCAATATATTCAATATCAATATTACTACAATTATTGACTACTAATTAACAAAAATTTTCTATTACTTATCTATAATAATAATAATAATACTGTATATAATAGATATATATTGACCTAAACATTGTTTTTTTAAATTATTATTATTTAATTTACTATAGCTAATTAACATATATCAAAATGTTATAAACTAATTATTATTAAACTAAACATTTAAACAAAATAGCTTAAATTACTTAATTTTTTTTTATTGAAAAATATTTAATTATTCAAAAAATTAATATTAAAAAATATATATATTAGATATTAGCATATGATGTTGGCCTACTATTTGAACATAAACTATAATTAATAAATAAATATTATTATTATTATTATATAATAATTAGTAATTACTATATTATTATATTAATAAAAAAAATCAGATAATAATAATTAATACAATAATACTAATACTAATAATTATTATTATCTATGTTTAGGCAAAATGGAAACAATACTGAAATTATTGGCAACAATAACCACAAAAAAAATTATTAAATTAATGGACAGTTAGTTAGTTAGTATATGCAGCGTAAAAATTAGTGCTAAATTTTTTTTTAATAATTAATTATCATTAACTTTGAACTGGTAATAGTAATCATTAAAAAAAATATAGCAATTAAAGGTGTATTAAATGGCTTTTAATATGTATTAACATGTGTTTGTGTGTGTGATATATAGATAAACTATACATTTTTAAAAACAACCCGAAAACCAACCAACAAAAAAACCAACCATTAATTCATATAAAAATATGTTTTTAATGGCTACCTATGTGTGTGTGTGTATATGTGTAGTGGAGATCACCTAACTGTGGACTGAACCGAAACAATTGTCGGTGCAGTCAATATGAACCGACATTTCCGTTAATAATTAAAAATATATATATATATATATATATATATTATATGATATATATATATATTAATATATATAAAAATCTGGTGATAATGATATTATTTAATATCTCAAAACACAAATCTACTCACAAAAAAAATTCACACTTTAAAAATTAAATATAATAATCAAAAAAAAAAATTAAATAAAACATTTATATATCTATTAATTCTCTAAACAATTGACTTTCTCTCTCTCTCTCTCTCTCTCTCTCTCTCTCTATAAAACAAATTGAAAAAAATTTGGTTATATATATATACAGTATATATATAAATATATGTGTGTTAATGTTTTACTTGCCCTTAATAACATAAGTGAAACCATTTTTTAAAAAATTATTTATTTATTGTTATTTTCACTATTAATTTCACTTTTTTTGTTTTGTTTTGTTTACTAAATAACTATTTGTAAATAATTTATATATTATAATATATATTTTTTAAAGATATTCAGTAATATCAATGTCAATAGTAAGTGTGTGTGTGTGTGTGTTAGTTAAAATAATTTATTTATTTTTGTTACTCAATTAATTAACTAATTAATTAATTAATTAATTAATTAGCTAAATATGTGTGTGTGGTTTTTATTATACTAATAAATTATTGATGTACTGAAAATTAATATATATATATATATATATATATATATAAATTTCATAAATAAATAATTATGTCATCGTGTCTAACATTTTTTTGTATTTTCAAAAAATAATTAGGTTGCTTTTAGTATTAACAAAAATAATATTTATATATAAAAATTTTATTTGATTAAAATTTTTTTGTTTTTTTTCTCTCTCTCTCTAAATATTTTTAATCAAAAAACAACTATAAAAACAAAAATATATTTATTTACAGACAAACTGTGTATTGAATATATATATATATATATCTATATCTTTCAATATAAATATTTTCACCCAAATTATATCAATAAGGAAAGGGGTTTGCGATATGTGTATAGTCGTCTATTATGAATCCAAATTAGTGGGAAATTTCTAATATAGTGGCAAACAATTTGCCGGATACTCCCATCCAACTATCCAACCTCTCTCTCTCTCTCTCTCAATCACTATCTACCGTTCCCCCACCCCTATCATCTCCATGCCTTTTAATAATAATAAATGTGTAAAATTATACATACATTTTTTCATATTTCAAATTTATTCAGTACTAACTTTCCTCCACTTTCTCACACACACACACACACACAATATTATATTAACCATCAAATAGAGAGGGTAGGGAAAGGGATTGCAATTTTTCAAGTATATGTATGCTCTCGAAAGTAGGTCATAGTAGCTACAGTTCCCTCTCTCTCTCTCTCTCTCTCTCACTCCTCGACTAATCTCCCAGTGCTCGGGCTATTATACATAGCCTATGTATGTATATATACATGAATAGTATGTGTGTGTGTGTGTGTGTGTGTGTGTGTGTGTGTGTGTGTGTAATGTAATAATATAAAGCATTTTTCGACACAGCAATCAATAGCTTTAAATATATAAAAAATATTTCTTAAAAAATATTAGTCGACTTGTATTACTAGTCTGTATTGTATATATATATATTGCAACCAAAAATTTATATACTTTTTAAAATATTTTCTCATTATAGTCAATGAGAGAGAGAGAGAGAGAGAGAGAGAGAGAGAGAGAGATAAAAAAGATTATGAAATTCTTGCGCAACAAATACAATACATTTCAAGCAAACAGAGATTTGCAATACAATAGCTTTTTACTAATAATTTCAACAATATTTATAATATATATATATATAATAATAATAATTATTATTATTATATAATTATAATAAAATATTATAATATATTTTTTATTTTCAACAAAATAAAATAATACTAATTTAATGGACTAACTAATTGCGTTAAAATTACATTAATATAATATATAATTTTTTTTTAATATAATAGAGCACAGGTAGCAATTTTTTTTAGTTCACACATAAAAAACCATTTTTTATTGTGTGCTACTATTTACTACTACTACTACTACTATATGCAAAGTGGGTAATATCATACATATTATTATTATTATTATTATTATTATTATTATCGGCTTATATATATACATATACAGTATGTGTGTGTATGTGTGGTAAATCACATTTATATATAAAAAAATATATGAATTAATTATATAGATATTTATCCTAAAACATATTTAAATCTCTTAAAAACTTATTTCAAAAAAAAATTAAAAAATTTTAATAAATAATAGTAATATAATTTACGAAAAAAAACAGTTTTTAAAATATTAATAATTATTGAGATAATAAAATCTGTATTTATGTGTTTATAAAAGTTACGCAACTTTTTTTGTTTGGATAGAAATAAGACAATCAAATACTTTTAACAAAAAAAAAACAAATAAAAAAATTAATTTATAGAAATATTTCGCTAATAAATATAATAAATAATATATTTATGCAAATTTACAACAAAATAAAATTCGCAAAAAAATTAATTTTTTTGTATAATTTATTAATCTATGCTAAAAAACATTGATATCCATACTACACGCTATATATATATATATATATATATATATATATATATATATATATAAATATACAGTATGTATACATATTATGTATATTGAAATTTTAAAAAAATAAAATAAATAATTTTTATTATTTATTTTGTTAAAAATAGCTTAAATGTGTTCAACAACATAATAATAATAATTTTTACATAATATTTATATTAACTATATAGCAGTTTTGATTATTATTATTATTATTATTTTATTTTTCCCACTTTTACTTTCTATAAAACATATATATATAGTAAAAGCATTTAATAACGTTATTATTATTATTATTGTAATATTACTACTATTTCATGAGCCAGTGTGTTTAATGGTGTGCCACTAACCCAGTTTACTATATGTATGTATGTGTGTGTGTGTGTGTGTGTATGTATGTGTGTAGGGGCTGTCAATACTGTACAGCAATGTGTATGTATGTGTGTGTCTATGTATGTATGTATGTATGTGTAAAATACTTGTCCTCTTATAAGCTTAAAATGTATGCTAAAACTACTATTACTGAGTAAATTGCTAAAACATTTCCATTGAATTTTCACTATCACTTTCAATTATAATAAATATATATATATATATATATACATATATATATATATTAACTATACAATTATATACATATAAATTGTTTATTTATGAAAATATTTTTCATAAGTCAAATATAAAACTATATATATATATATTTGTATAAATAATTTGTCTCAAAAAACAAATAAAAAAAACCTGATAATATTAATAATTATTATTATTATATACAGTGTACTAGTAATAAAAATTTTTAGGGTTCAATTTTGTTGTTTGAAAAATAATAATTAATCAACCAATTATATATATTGTATATATATATATATATATATTTAAAGTGCAAACAACATGTATGTAAATTGAATATAACTGTATATATAAATCATAAAATCAAAATCAGCTATTATTATAAGTATTATTAAAATTGTTTTCATAAAATTAATAATAATAATAATAATATACTGGTATTACAGTATATAATATATAACATATATTTTTTTTAGCTAATTTAGAGTAACTATGTTTTTTTGTTTGTTTGCTACTATAAATATAGAAATATTAAAAACAAAAAAAAATATTTTCCACATAAAAAACTATTTCAATTAAATATATGTTTTTCCTATTAACAAAAAAAATTCATTACTAAAATTTTCATAAATATATTATTATTAAATAAAATACTTATAAAATCAAAACAAATATATTATCAAATCTTTCAATGTATACTTAAGTAGTAGTAGTAGTAATAATCAAACAAACAAATAATAATAATAAAAAAGTAAAAGTAAATCAAGCCTTACATACAGTGTGTTTGTTTGTTATATGTTTTATGTGTTAATGAATTATATGAAAATTTATACAAACTATTTCAATAGCAAACATGTAACCAAAAAAAACAAACAAACAATAATAATAATGATAATAAAAAAAATCAAAATAAATTTTCAATTTATATTTGAATAAAAACTTATTTCCAGTTATATTAATTAAAAATTTATACGCTATATATGTATATATATATATACTGTATATAACTACTAAATACATTATACAGTATCTATGTTTGTTAGCTAACATATATCTATCTATCTATCTATGTGTGTGTATATATAAACAAGTATATTAAGTGGTTTTGAAATTATTAAATAAAAAATCATTACAAATTATTTTTATATATATATACTTATTAAATATTATGTATTAAAAAAAACAACTAAATAGCTCCCAGGCATCAGTAACAGTGAAAATATATATGAAAGAGAGAGAGAGAGAGAGAGAGAGAGAGAGAGAGAGAGAGAGAGAGAGAGAGAGAGAGACTATCGTGAATCGCATATTCACTTGACCTATATTTTCAACAAATATATTACTAAAACAGTATTCAATATTTTTTATATATAAATATATATACACTTGTTTTTTATGCTATAAGTGAGAGAAAAAAGATATTTAAAGGTAAGTTAAATAATAAAACAATTATTATTAATGATAATAATACTAATAATACTGTACTTTGAAAAGTCATAACTCAAATAAAATAACAAAAATAATAATAATAATAATAATAAACTCAACAAATATACTACAAGTAAAACACAAAAGACTTGACATAACTAAACAATTATACAACAGTTATATAGTAATTAAATTCAAAAAACGACTGCTAACTTAAACAAAGAGAGAGAGAGAGAAAAAAAAAACAAAATTAAAGGAAAGGCAGAGGAAATGGATCGCCAGTTCCTTTAAGTGCCTGGTTTTGTATGACAAACACACATACTATGGAAAGTTAGCTAATAGTTTAGCTAAAGTCTGTATGATATCTGTATATTTCACACACACACACACACACACACACACACACACACACACACACACACACACACACACACACACACACACACACACACACACACACACACACACAGACATGTATTAGTCATACATAACGATAAAAATTAAAGGGATAATAGTTTAAACATATATTTTAATTGTTGGTTAATAATAATAATAATAATATATTAATAATAATGTTAATGTAATTGTAATAATAATAAAAGGAAAGTAGCATTGAATTTGAAAATTAAGTGAAAACTATTTTTTTATATTATTATTATTTTGTTTATCGCTTGTGGCTTATTATCACTACATATTTGCATACATACACACACAACAACAAAAAACTACTATAAATTATAATTATTAAATATCATTATAATAACTTAAATAATAATAATAATAATTAATTTGTTTCAAACAAAACCAATTATAAATATAAGCGTATACTGTAAATGTATATTTAATAAAAAAAAACAATTTAAATATTTGAATCTAAAAACACACAAAAAAAATGTCAAAATAGTTAACACATAGACCAACAAAAAAAAATTAATACAATTAATTAAGTCATGAACTAAGCTATTAGTTATTAACCTATTATTATGAGAGAGAGAGAGAGAGAGAGAGAGAGAGAGAGAGAGAGAGAGAGAGAGAGAGAGATAGGGGTCGAGACCCCAACAGGTGATAGGAATAGTGTTTATATATATATATATGGATTGATAGGTTGACCTACCTTTAGATCTTTGAAGAATATGCTATTGCGAGCCCAGTCTACCTGTGCGAACAGGGACTGGTCTATCACTTTGCACATGAGCTCGAACAGGTCGACCTCGCACTGGTTGTACGTCTGGTTCTGGAGTAGACCGAACAGCTGTGACTGCCATTCCTTGTCGTCGGGTGCCGTCAGCTGAAACTCGCGCACCAGCGGCGGTATTTTGCCGACATTTGCGGTCAACGGTATGGCAGTATGGCCGCCACCACCGCCGGCAGCAGTGGATGGCGCGCTCTCGTAATGGAAATGTGCGCCATTTTTGGGCGACAGTGTTGTCGGAGTGCCGGCACTGGCAGCGCCGGCCGTGTCGTTGGGACCGCCGCCGCCGTGAGGTCCCCATTTGAGTGTCTCGTGTGTGGGCACTGGTGAATGAATGCCCGCACCATTGGGTCCGACCTGTGTCGGTCCGTGCGGCGGTTGCGGCTGTATTACGTTGTTGTTGTCGCCGCCCGGAGGTTGCGGCTGTTGTTGTTGTTGCTGCTGCTGTTGCGGTGGACCGCCGCCAACAGTGACAAAATGTTGACCCGTCGCCGACTGCGAAACCACCAGCGCTTGTTGACCGGGAGAAGGGGACGAATCGGGCGATGAGGTCGATGAAGATAACTGCGGTATTTGTATCAACTCTTGTTTGATTCCGTCGGCGGTGTATATGTGAGTGGGCGCGCCGTGCAGTGCGGCCAAAAAGTGTGGCCCGATGTCGCCGCCGGCACCGGTACTGTGGTTCATGGAGACGGGCGGCGGCGCCTGACAGGGTGGCCGAGTCAACTGTTTTTGGCGCAACAGCTGTAATCGTCGGGCGCGGTCGCGCTTATACATTGGTCCAAACTTGTTGCGGCCGCCACGCATGCGGTCAGCTCTGACGGCTGTGTTAGGTGATGGGGTTGGGTAGGGGTAGGGGAAACAGTAATACAGAGGGGAGAAAAAAATTGGGGATCAATAGGATGAACACAATTTATAGATAATCTAATACTCGTCCCATACCTTCTAATTTCATGCCGACGTCGAGGCACTTCTGGAAACGACAAAACGGACACCTCTTGCGCTGCGATTTGTCGATATGACAGCTCCGGTCGGCCACACAGGTGTAGACCTTTTTGTTTTGAACGGTACGCTTGAAGAAACCCTTACACGACTCGCAAGTTAGTAGGCCGTAGTGATAGCCGGAAACTTTATCGCCGCAAACCGGACACAATTCTTCGATACCTTCTTTAGTATCGGGATGATCGTGTTGTACGCCTGCACCGCCACCGCCGCCTCCTCCGTGCCCGTGGCTATGATGATGATGTCCACCGTAGCCGCCGCCGCCGCTACTGATAAGACCATTGCCGTCGCTGGTGGCCGCTACAGACATAACGGAACCGCTGCCCATAGACATACTCAGTCCCGATTGGCCAACGCTGGACGGTATCTGTGTCGGTGCTGTAATGAAACAGTGACCAGAAGTGTCAATATTGTAATTATAGGACATTGTGGTCATCATTGTCTCGAGTATTGAACACTTTTTATTGTTATTATTATTATTATTATTATGATTATTGATGTTTCGGTTTATATTATGATTATTGGTATTATTGTTTGACTTATAGTTATAGTGATTATGATTATTAATATTACTATTGTTTGTATTTGTTTTTGTAGTCAATTGTCAATTGAAATTATAATCCATTTATTAATAATTAAATTAAACAATAAATAGATGATAATAATAATAATAATAAATTAATAAAAAATTGTTTGTTTGTTTGTTTTTTTTTCAATCGGTTATCAAATCATAACATATAGAAAATGAAAAACAAAAAAAAATTAAAAAAAACTTTTAATAAATTTAATAATTCAATGTACAGAAAGTTACACAGGACATTTATATAATTTGTTTGGTTTTAATTATTTATTAATTTTTAATTTAATTTTTTAGTTATATAACTAAATTTGTTATAAACTATATTTAACATTATATTTAAATTCAATTAAATACATACACACACAAAAAAAGTTGAATTTAATTGAATTTACACACAGTATATATATATATATATAAAAAAATTGACAACTACCTTGGTTAATTTACTATAAATTAGCTACCTAAAATAATAATAATAACCATTATAATCTAACCAACAATAACAACAAATAAAAATATAATAAACCAAATCAATTATATAAATGTCAAGTATATACTGTATATATATATACATATAAAATAAATATATATATATACTGATATAATATATCATTTATTATTATTATTATTATTACTATGTCAATTTTGTTGTATCATCTCGGTACATTGAATTATCAAATTGATCCAGCATATAATTGGACATTGTTTTTTAAAAAAAAAAAACAAATAATTAATCAAACCAATGATTAATTATTGTTTTTTTATTATAAATTTTAATGTTTAATAATAAGCAAAAAAACACAACACATACACAATATGATAAATATACACCAAAAAAAAAATTATCCAAAAAATTATATTATATTATACACAAATCACTACACACTACCTAAAATATCCATAAGGTATGTGTGTATGTATGTAAATATAGGTATATAAGCTCACAGCTAACTGTCCCAGTCAATAATAACAACAACAAATGCACTTGGGTAATCACAATCAAAATTAAATGTCAATATATATATATAACAATATATATATATATAGTATTAGCCAACAACAACAAAAAAATAATATATATAAATGTCACATAAAATATATATAAGTTCAATATATATAAGCTTATTATACTTTTTTATTTATATATAGATATATAAATCACATTTATAAAAAAAAATAATAATGATAATTAAATTATGTCCAAATATAATAGTTATAGTCTAGAAAATAATTTGAAGGCACAAACATTTTTGATAACAAAATTTTGTTTGTTTTTTATTTTAAAAAAAATTATATTAATAGGAAGATCATCTAGGTTATTTAATCAATTAATTAATTAAATTATATAATGTTTGTTTGGTTACTAAATAGATGATAATGATTATTATAGGCTAGCATACTTTGATGAAACATTTAAATAAAAATTTTAATTTTAATGATAAAAAATCAAAATTGTTTTTTTTATAAACATATGTAGATATGAAAAAACAAACAAGCTAATTTTAGTTTAATTTCAACAATAAATAAAATCAAAAAAAAATAAATGATTAAACAAACACAATTTAAATTATTTTTAAAACAATAAATAACAACCACTATATATATATATATAAATAATATATTATATTATTATTATTATAAACAGTATATTATTTGTGTATTAATACAACAACTGTTGAGATAGAGAGTGAAAGTGAAACTGTTTTTTCAATCGAAAAAAAAACTAATAAAAGATAAATATAAACACATTTAATAATAATAATAATAATATAACACAACAACAAACACAGTCAGTCCTATTCAGTCAACTACTATATACACAATGAAACTGACTGTTAATATCAATATATTAGTAGTGAAAAATTGTGAGAGCAATGTGTATGTATGTATAGTATGTATGTATGTGTGTGAAAGTGAGTGCAGCGCCAAAGCTAACTGTGCTCTCCCTCCTCCTCCTATGTATTACTATAGAGAGAGAGAGAGTGAGAGAGAAAGTATGGTACGGTATATACAGCACACACACATACATACACATACATAACACACATATTAAAAAATGTGTGCTATAACTGGCATAACACATATATAACATATACTACTACTACTACTACTACTACTAGTACTATAAAAAAAAATAAGTGAGAGTATGTATGTATGTATATATGTTTTGATCTTGACCCGGATACACACAAACACACATTTTAGTCGGTGCTTATATATATATATATATAAAATATATGTATATATATATACATAATATATATATATTAAATATATGTGTTTTTTAAATATATAAAAAAGTGAGTTACGAATTGACCCACATTTTTTAAGTAATCCGTTATTTTATTTTATTTATTTATTTTTTAAATAAATATATATATATTAGCATTATTATTAAATAACTGTTTTTCCAGATTTATTTAATTTTGTTGTTTTTTTAATAATATTAATAATAATAAAATAATTTATTATTATAATTATTTTCTAACTCTCTCTCTCTTTCTTTCTCTCTCTCTCTCTCTCTCTCTCTCTCTCTCTCTCTCTCTTTATTAACTAATTTGTTTAATACTGTAGTAGTATATAAACAGTTATATATACAATATATACATATGTAAATATTTTATCACCCAATAATCACTATTTGATAAATTAATTATTATTATTATTATTAACCTAAAAATATTATTTATATTAATAATAGTATTAATAATTTTTGGGAAAAATTTTGGGTAAACTTTTATATTGAAACTTAATCTTTTAATTTAACAAAAATAAATTAGATTATTTTTGGACATTTAATTTAGGTGAACAATATATATAAATTACCATGATAAATTTTTCAATATAATTACACACACACACACACACACACACACACACACACATAAAATTTAATAAATATTTAATTTTGAAAATTATTTAATCAATAATTATTTTTATTACACATATATATTATATCACATATTATATTGATTTTATTAATTTGTTAATTATTAATAATTTTTGGGTGTATCAAACAAAACAAAAAAATATTTTAAAAGTAAAAGTATCAATCAAAATTAAATATTTACTATAAATAAATAATTAGTAATAATTAATTTAATAAACATATATACATTTGGGATTTTACTGATTATTTTTATAAAAGCCCTAAATTTTGTTCAAAACTTAGTAGTACTACTACTAATAATTTATTAGTAATAAAATAAATAAATAAATATATTTATGTGGTCTAAACCTATAAACCTTTATACACTTAATAATAATAATAATAATAATAATATCAAATGATAAAAGTTTTTATTTAATCATAAATGTAAACATACTTTTGTAATAATACAAGACATAGATTTTTGTTAATCAATTTTAATCAATATATTTGTTGGTAAACATTAAGCTCAAAAAAACATGATATCAAATTGATATTTATAACTATATATATATATCAATATAAGTTAATTTATATTAAATTAAAATATTGTGTTAAATGTTTTTATTACTTTCAACAATAACAACAACAAATTTGGTCGATATAAGTGTTAATAAACAGATTATCTAATAATAATAATAATAATTTGATTGAATGAAAAAATAGTGAAAATATTTTGTTTTTTTAGACTAATAAACAAATTAAGACATAATATGTGTGTGTAATAAAAAAAATGTGTGCTTAATATATACTGTAATTATATATATATATTATGAATATAAACTATTTATTATTAGATTAACTAGATCAATGATAAAAGCTTTAAAAAAATAATTTTAAAAAAAAATTGTGTTTTATTTTTGTTGTTGTTGTTGTTGAACATAACTTAACACAAATACTGTCTAATATACTAATATATATATATATAAATTAAGTGTAAATTAAGTGGTATACCACAGATAGTAAACAAACTAAAAAAATTATAATAATAATAATAAATTAAATATACAAAAAACATACATACACTTTGAATATATATATATATATGTAAATAAATTTGTCTATTTTGCAAATTTAAATACAACCAACAACAAAAAAATCAACAATAAATAAACCCAATTATATATTTTTTTAAAAAAATTAATGAATACATATTTAAATTAAGTTATTAAGTAATTTATTTTTATTTTCCTATCTCTATGTGTGTATGCGATTAATAAATATGATAACACATAATAATAAAAAAAAACGTTAGATTAAGAAATACCACATAATTTCGATATTTACAGTATTAATGCAAAAAAATTAAATAATAGTCTCTCTCTCTCTCTCTAAACAATACATTGTTTAATATAAATTGTATTTTAATTTAAATATATATATATAAATATGAAATCTCTCTCTCTCTCTCTCTCTCTCTTTGCTAATAGTATTTAACGAAAAATTTTATAATATATTACTTTATTATTATAAGTACAGTATGTATTGAAGCAATATATTGAGGAAAAGGCAATAAAAAGCGATAAAAATCAGCAGTTGTTTGTTTGTATGGATATTATTAATAATAATAATATTATTATATAAAGTTGTTTTTTAATATCCCTACCCCCCCCCTCCCCCTAAAAAGTTAAAAGCGATTGTTTATTTGGAGAAAAATTAAATTTATATATAAAAAACAACAACAACAAAATAAAGTAATAATAATAATAATAATAAATACAAACTTATATAAATCAAAAAAAAATTCAAACTTTTTTTTATTAGTAGTAGAAAAAAATCTCATATGTATTTGTGTTTATGTAAAAAATTATATATAAATTTCATAATAATATTATAAAAAAAAAACTAAATAATAATTTTATGTTTCAC